TTTCACGTAAAAAGGTTTGTTACCATTTAAAAGTGGTTATGTAGTATTCACATATGCGATACAAGTACATTAACAATATATATATATGTAGCTATACGTGTATTTTGTACAGACGCGATGCAAATCTACCATATTTATAAGGCTTTATCTGGTCCATAGTTAAACTTTATTGCACTGGATTTTACTCACTTACAGGCATATCTATCCGTTTGTCTGTTTGTAGTCTAGCAATGCAGACGTGGTCAGAGACACAAAAAGACATTTGAATTCGCTTGGGACGAGGTCTGGCTATTTTGGTCCTCGCTTCTTTTTACTTTTGAACTACAATAATATTATTCAACTTTCCAGTCAAAGAAAATTTGCTTCTACGAAAGACCCACATCTTCAAGATGAACGAAATAACGCTTGATAAATAAAAGTTCCCATAAATGGTTTTAGAGTTAAATTTAGGCCTACGCAGATTTCGTCAATATGGCAGATCTTTATCTCCAGCAACAGTGGACTGATGTCTACTGGTACCTTCTGCTTAGCAATCCTGGACCTTTCTCTCAGCCAGGATTAGCTTCTCTCATTTATAACTATCCCTGAATTGACTAAATAGAGGTTCGTTACAAAATAGCATAAACATAATTTGAAGTGGCAAATTGACGTTTACTGCAGAGCGTTGTAGGGGTTTGTGTCTCTTTCTTGTTCAGTATGTGGCATTTTCCGAAAAAAACGTCTGCAAAAAGTATGCAATTTTAATATCAAACGATAATTTTTAACCATTAGGCCTTTATCTTTGAAATATGTCAAACATCGAAGATGGCGTTTAAATTTGGTCTCACGTGAAATAATTTTCAAAAAGATTTGGTCGTGAGTCATATTTACTTTTAATGCATTTCCTGACAATCTTCCAGTACTTTTAATCAAGCTGGCAGTGAAGTATTCACTTACCATGTGATATGTGTAAACAGTATTTTCTTGGTTAAGGCTTTTTTTTCGATAAAACTGCAATCTTCATGTTTACAGATTTGAAGAAATTTAGAATCCATTTCACCGCAAAATTTCATCCTTGAGGTGACGTCATGCGTCCTATTGCAAAAAGTGTCGTAGAGGGAAAAACTGCATCTTCTTATTATGATTCTTATTATTTCAGATAAGATGGTTAAATCATACATATTGAATTATATCTGAACATTGAGTGGTATTTATGTATTTTATGAAACCTTTTTAACTGTAATTAATTAAAAGTTAAGTCTTTTGTTCTCCGATAGCCCGGTGGTTTTGGGAGTGAGAGGGCATCTGGAATCAGTGTATGGTGAATTGCTTCAAAATGAACAAAAAGAGGACATGAATTCGACGCTACTTCTAGCGATTATATTTGATTGTGCTTTGGCACTTTTCGGTTGACTTGTGTTATCCTTTTTTCTTTGATAGAACATATACGGCACGTGTGCAGACTCCTGAAGCCTCTGTTTGAAGCCCATCCCCACCTCCATATTTGTTGATTTATTATTGTTTTGTTTTGTTTCATAATGAAAATACGGTTGTTTCTCGAAATAATTCTTCTTTCGTATCTGAGAATATTTGTGGCTGTCGTTTAGATCGCACCGGTAAAACTCTATCAGTCAAACGATTATGGCATTGATGTAATTCCACTATTTCAACTACTTTAAACTGCTGGTGGAGATATTGATATCCACGACGTTTAAATCTTTTACAACCGGTATTTTTCTTCGGACAATTCAAAATAGCTTTCGACGTTGGAAAATTGAAGGACAGCGGGATTATTAAAAAAGGAAAAAAGATTGAATGGTAAATCGATCCTTTAGACGTCAGTCGAAATTACAGTAACAGGAAATAAGCACATTAAACCTTTCTTAGGGGCAAGACTGAATGAGGCTCAGCCGATTTCTTCTCAGATAACGAAATAAAGATGTTGATTTTTTGAATGGAAATACGCAAGCGGAAGGGTTGGGCGAAACACACAGCATGCACCCTGCGAGGCATGTCGCCACTACGTGACGTTCGCCGGTTTGTCAACAGGGACATGAATGAAAAAAAGAGACCGGGATTTCCGGGGCAGATTGGAAAAAGGCTTGGAGAGAGTAATGAGGAGACCACTCATACCGAGTCCCTGAAAATTGGCGCAACATCAACAGATTTACTTCTCCAGAGTGATGAAATAAAAAAAGGAAAAACAATCTCAATGGGTACCCCTGGCGGGTAAGGTACTTTTAAAATGTGTACCATGGTCTACACAACTTTTGGCGCACATGGCCACTGTTTACTGGGCATGACATTTTGGTTTTGGTTTTGATTTTCCAGCCTGCCTTCATCACGATGTCCGTAAACCCAGGGTCTTCACATTGTGTGTCACACTGTGGCGGGACCAGGGGAAGGCACAACGAGCACGTTCCCCATAGCTTTAAGATACCGCCTTTTCTCCCCCCCCCCCTCCACCCCCACCCCAGAAAAAAGTATGAAAAGCGACATCTAACAGCGTAGAGTAGTTTTCCAACACCAGTAGCCTATAAATTATTTTAAAAATTGTCCTGTTTATCCATATACTTGCTACTTTCTAAAAATTCCTTTGCCCCTCCCTACCCAATCCCAACAAAATCCAGGATCTGTCACTGCCAGTACTTTGACTCTTAAGTAGCGTGCCGCTTGCACCTCCCTGTTTGTCGACCAGCGAAACCTTATCTATTAATTCTTAATTTGTTGAAGTTATCATCAGCTTAAGTACATCAGTTCATAATAATGTTTTCCATTCTGAAGAATAATCTAATAACAACTTATAAGGACCGGAATGCTCTGTTTTACTGTAGCGATTTGTTATTCTAATTCAACAATGTAAGGCACTATTCGATTATCATTACAAATCAAATCACAGTATCAACTTATTTTCTTAGTGCCCAAGTAATAAAGATCTGATTGAAAATATACACTAATTCTTAGAACCTATATAAGGTAGCCATTCCCGTCATTTGCCACTTCACTTTGAACAATGGTCCGCTTGCAATGATAATTTTAGGCCAGTAAATGAGCAAATTTGTCCCATTGAAGTTGGGGGAAAATATGATGAAAAGTTTCTCAACTTAATCCGGGCCAGTGATGGGCCAATACAACACAGATAATTTCCCACTGGAATCCACCCAATGGAAAAGTGCTAAAATCCACAATGGCCGCCAATGCATAGAGGGCGATATTTCAATGGGTATATCTGAGTACCGGTAATTTATAAACTTATAAAAGGCATCATTTATAATGAAAAAAAGTATGACATTTCATTTGAAAATAGTTTGAACGTCATCAGTGGTCAAGATCATGAATATATGCAATATGCCAAGGCATATCTTGAAAAGCATCAAAGCATCTTAATACAACAACATTTTTTTTCACAGAAATGCAAATTTAATGACTTTTTAACTCCTTCTGAGAACTGCATACAAAAGGGCTAAATGTGAAATGACATATGTAGTTGACAAATGGTAAAATATTTAATGTAAAAGTCAAATCTGCATGGAAACAGAGACACCCTTGACATTTGGGATCCCCCTAAAACACAGACAAACTAATTAAAAATATCCGTTGATGATTAAACCCATGATTAGGTTATGAAAGAAAAAACAATAGTTTGTTAATCATCAGAGGTCAAGGTCATTGACATTGGTAATATTTCATAGGTTTTGTCTCCGGTTGGATCGCCCCTCTTATCCTGGTTGTGAAATTCAATGAAGGACAAACGATTCGAAATGGTCAATAAAACTCGTGCCTCGGTTTTCCGCCTAACATGCTACACAAGAAATTGGCATGTAAGGTCGTTACCGAAGGCGAAAAACCACTCGTGCAAATTCATTTTAGTTAAGCGTATATCTAATTTTACTATTGTGTTATATGCAACATTTCCCTTTATTATGTTTTATTTATTTATTTATTTATTTATTATTATTATTTATTTATTTTTTTTTTTGCTGAATTGTGTCTTTCATATTTACAAGTATCATTTGATTTTTGTTTAGATTATTTTGGTTAGAGTTAGGTCGGTCCAATTTTAGTGGAAATACGACTTTATCAATCAGTGAAAAAGACATATGCAGTGCAACCAGATTTCCTATGGCATCATTTTAAAATCTGAAAAGTACATTACAGACGGCCATTATGTTGTCACTAAATGGGAATATGAGTAGCGATTCAGATTTATTTCAATGTGAAACAAATCAGGCGTCTAGGTTAGTAGCTCTTCTCACATTCAAAAAGATATCTGTAAGCTAAAACCCTACGTACGGAATGCATTGTAATTGTAAAAAGTCAATCGTGAACGTTTACTAACATCACACACACGCATACGCTGTTTCTACTCCTGAATGTCATTCCAAGCTTCAGCGTCTCTCGGAAATTGCATGGAATTTTTGCTGTTAATAAAGCTTCCGATATTATCAGAAATCCGCGATGCCTTTGGGGGTATTAACATTGAATGGGCACCTCTCGGGTATAAACACCTGCAATGCAGTTGACTCATTTCTCTCGGGACTAACTTTTCCAACTACCATAACAGACTATGTTATCTTACATTTATCACGCAGGATTATTCAACGTGTGCTTTTGAAAAATCATTGAACACACAGTTTAAGAAGTCTAGTAGTCTATATGTTTGAAGTAGTGCAACTTTTCTGCCGTGAGTCCCAGTCGTGTTGATCATGAGCTCACTGTTAGATCAACAAACGCCACGTGTTAATGGTTTTTAAAGCGCCAGTATTTACCTGTGTCGAAATTGAACAGGTGCATCCTTGATTTTTTCTCTTGAAGTATAAACAGGTAATATATCTGCACATTGCCGTTCTATTCCTAACATAAAGGTTCTGTCACTCTCATGGTACATGTACAAAAGGGGAAGCGTTAAAAATGTCCTTGAAAAATAAAAACGGTGATGCTTTAGACAATCGCCACACCTCAGATTTTCTTTCAGTTCTGTTCCTTTATAAACAATAATGAAAACAAAAACTTATCGAGATGCTTTATTTGGAATCACAGAGAGTATACAAAGGGACATAAATACTCAACCAAAAACGCACGGCATTGCTACATGTGCAAGGTGTTATTCATTTTCCTCCAAACATTCTTAACGCAACAACTTCTCCGCGATTCTGTTGATTTCATTAAGTATTCCAAGAGATCCCAAGGAGTTTGGAAACATTGTCACCTAGTGTTTACATTCTAGCGCTAGAAAAACGCTGACTTTACTATACGATTGTACCAGTACAAGTAAACGTGCCTGAGACCTGCTCATGACGTCACAGTACGGCCACGCCCCCAGACAGCAATAACTGTTGAGATCAACCCGCCGTGATATTTGGTCTAAGTCTAAAATTTAAAAAAATGAAAACACCGCAGGAAATATCACAGACAGTTGTATGTGAAAAAAATATGATGAATATATCTAAAAACTTGAAAAAAGTTATTCAAAATAGAATTCAAAAAACAATATCAAAAGGAATACGCCAGAAAGATATACATGTATCTATTAAGTGCACGTGCATTCCATGCTGCTCTGTATCCTCCAACATACGCTTTGCATTTTATAGTCACAGTAATGACTAGGTGTACGTTGTTTAATACAGCCAATACTATAAATATGAAAACAGCTTCCAGATGATATTTTTTTTTCCACCATGGTTATCCTGTTTCACAAACAAAAGTACACTGTATCTATAAGAAATGAATTTTATCCCGAAAGGCTTTTTTTCTTTATGTGAGCACTTACTGTATTGTATATTGTTTAAACCGATACAAGTACGGTAGACAAATGGATTTCCTCCCAGCTTGGAGAAATTATTTGTAACATACGGCAAGAAAAATATGCAGCATTGATAAATAACAAGAAAGTCCTTATGGAAAATGAATTACCATCGGTATCACCAATACCAAACAGAGCAGCCTGACATTTGTCTTGTTGTCACTAAGGAAACTGCACGATACACCATGAGGCACGTCCATAATCGTTGTCCATAATCACAGTCCGTTATTCTTGTATCCGTATCCATTGTGATATCCAGTTTGAGTTATCAATTAGCATTTAAATTTTCCTTTACCCTGTACCATTGTCCATAAAGCCATGTCCATATCCATTATCTTTTGTCCATTTGTCTAATGTCAGTGTCAAGGATAATTACGTCAGAGGTCAAGTGTCAGTGAATGTCATGTGGTCTAGTTGTTTTTGTTTCCATGCCATCAAGGTGAAGAGATACTTGAACTGTAATAAAACACTTTCTGCTTGTCATGTCAAGTGTCAAATGCTGTGCAGACAATGTCAAATGCCAAGTAGACCATGTCGAGTGTCAGTATGTCTTTGCTGTCAAATGTCCAAGTAACGAACCTTGAGTCAATGACTTTAAGGCATACTGCTGCCGTAGGCACCATGCCCTGTAGTTACGGTGCGTCCTGAGAGAGAAAAAACACTGGCATAGACTAAATGAAGATATTAATTACTAGAAGATGATGACTGAAAAATAGAGTTACTTGGCTGCTCAAAATATCCAGTGCCTAAATAGTCATGAATTTAAAACTTAGTGACTATTATTTCAAATCTGTTGAAATACTAGTATAGTTATCATATTTTGTGTATGGAAACTTCTAAAAAAAACCATTACCTTTGGCAGAGTTGAGGGATGCTCTAGAGCTGTTACGGCTGTCCGCAAGTTTTCGCTCAACTGTTGGATCTTTGCTGTCAACCTCTGCAGGCTCATACCTAGTATTGTCAAAACATTTGATTAAACATTGGTAACCCCTTTAAATCTTTCTTAAGAGTTAATATAAATAGGCATATACGTGTGCCTTTTGTCTCACTATTTAAACAGTGTGTACATTTTCAATAGCACATGCTGATGAAAAAGTTACAAAATAATCGTGTATAATAAGACAATATCAAAACTCTACTGGAAACCTGTAATTATAAATCAATACAGATGTTTAATATATAATATACTTGCACTACTGTACTAATATGCTGACCTAGGTAGAACATAAATGTTGTAATAAATCATACCAAATGAGAGGTTTGTACGTGTCTTTGGGATCCTTGGCAGTTGCCTGGGCTGAGTCTGACTCACTGTTAGAACTGCTAGACCCAGCAGCATTTTGCTTCGGGGATGCACACTTGTCTTCAGGGACTGGTGTCATCCCGCTCTCAGGGGAGTGACGTTTGCCATAGGACTCTGAAATTCAAGAGGAGGGTGTCGAAATTTGAATTCATTTTTGTAAACAGATACACATGTACTGGAAAGCAGTTAGAAATACGATGAACAGACAACAAATTGCCATCATATTTCATTCAATTTCATACTGCTCAGTTCTTTGAATGTAGGAAGTTTCAAGGGTAACTGAAAACATGATTCTGCTGCGACAGAGAGCAGCAGAGGTGTTATGTTATAATAGAAGCAACTTTCAAGAAATCACTTAAATATGAGGTTACTGGAAAAGGCAGACCCATGCTGATAAAACATTAATTCCCAGCAAGTAAATATTTTACTCAAGCTGTATTACATTATATCCCATTTCCACTCACTAAGATCAATGGCAGATTCCCTGGGTGATGGCATTACTTTCTTCTGCTTCTTCTTATTCACGACAATGACAATGATCACAATGACTACAATCAGCACCGCTGTCCCACACACGGCACCCACTATGATGTATGTCATAGCACTATTGCTTGTGTCTTTCGCTGATGTGATGAAAATTACAGAAGCATTATGTTATAATTGAAATTAATTGAAGGTATGTACCGGTATATGTTTTAATTGAAAGCCCATTATAAATCCTGCTTCCCAACACTGTTAAAATAACAAATAATATTGTGTGGGGAAAAAAAACTTTTTTTTTTGAAAACAAAACCTAAAAGAAAGTATTTCATTTTTTATTTTTTCCTTTACATATTAAACATCAATTTCAGTTAAACAAATTACAAGTGTGATAATATGTTAACTAGTGCCAGTGCAAAATAAAAATAACAATTATAATATTTTTGAAGCCTTCCTCCCAACCAATGATAATGTGCCACGTACATGTACAGTATACCATTAAAACTACTATTATATAATAAAAAAAACTCACTACTTGGTCCTGTGGGAGTAGCATACGTCATTGAGGCAGCTGAGATGGTTCCTCCATTGGGTGCAGTCAGGGTGAAAGTGTTTGCATTCACACTGTTCTGTAGAGTGGCCAGAGCAGCTCCAATTGATGGTTCTGAGGCACTGGTTGGGGCCAGTAGGTCAAAGGTCACAATGATACTTCCTGGAATGTTTTGAATGCGAGATATTTAATGGGTCTCAATTGATAAAAATACAAATAACCTCTTGTAACACCTTGGTTTACACCATTTACTATGTTTTTGACTAAGGATAGAAATATTTAATCTAGAACATCTAGAGTCATTATAACAAAATTACAAGGGTAAATGTGCACAGCAAATATGGTTGACCTTGCAAGAAAATTATTTTCAAGTGCTTTCTCCTAATGTTATAGTTTTGCAGTGTCACCTCTCAGTTTAAAAGTTTACCTTCACCTGGCATGCATGTTGACCTCCATCTGGCATGCATGTTGACCTTCACCTTGAATGTATGTTGACCTTCACCTTGCATGCACATTGACCCTCACCTTGCATTTAAAGATTACGTACCTGATCTGACATCCAAATTCACAATTCGAGAAGAGTTAACCCCAATAGCAATGGCAATCTGAAGGGTGAAGCTCTGAATGGCTTCAGATCTGTTCTCCCCTATAAAGGTCTGGTAATCCACATTAAACGTGAGAGTGACGGTGATCTGCTCAACATCACCAAGGCCAGCAACAGTGGCAACTGTAGTAGCAGGGGTGGTTGCAGCATTTGTTGTAACTCCAGCAGTTGGTGCCTCAGTTGTCTGGGCAACTATAAATCAGAAAACAGTCAATCAGTATTCTCAGTTCCCCAAGTTGCTTTTACTAGTTCAGATTATTTGAGTTATTTCTACTACAGGTAGTATATACTGGTTGGATGGGCCTTGTTGAAAGTGATTGTATATAAAATGGTGTAAGTGAGATGCTTGGCCTGAAGAGTAATTGAGGGCTTAATGATAAAAAGGTACCTTTAGTACCTGTTGCACTGTTGTTGTCTTGAAAGATAAAAGCCAATGTTTCTGGAAGTTAAATGTTTACTTTTCTTCTATATTTACTTTTTATTTCACTAAATTATTTGAGTATACTGTTCATGGGGGAAAACACCATGACAGCACAAAATATAGATAAATTACAACAGGAAATTTAGTCAATCAATCTGGCCATTCTATGGCACATGTGCATCAGTTTAAAGCATTCCTTGTCTGAACATTTCTACCAACTAACAATACAATACTGAAGACTGCAGATAAAGATATTATACACACAGATACATTGCACATACTATATACCAAACATATATACCTGTACAGCCTCCTCTCTCTCTCTCTCTCTCTCTCTCTCCACACACATTATTCTAGCACACTTGCAGGTGTTGGGATGATAAAATGGATTCAAATAATAATGTACCATTTCAATTCACCCACCATGGCTTCATGGGATGTGAATATGTCACCTCATGACCTGCCTTAGACACACACACACACACACACACACACACACACACACACACACACAGTCATATCTGGCATGTGCATGAAGCTGTGCATCATGCAGCCAACCACATGTACTGGTAAAAAGAGAGACATATACAACTGTACTGTACAGACAGACATTTCACATCCCACATTAAAATAAAATAACATGAACAACGCAGTAATATTCATCTAGAAATCGCTGTTTACCATAGGATAAAATAGTTTTTACTAAAGCAAAAATGAAAAAATAAAAGCTTTTATGAAAGGACAAAATTGAATTGGGGCAAAAAGCAAAATGCTTAATGAAGACAAATCATACATGTTCCAGTACATGAATCATTACATTACTGCTACGGTACAAAGACAACATAATAACACAAAGTGCACCTGAATTAACATTAACAGCCAGTAAAGCTGTTGTCAAGGCTAGCGTGCCTAATGAAAAATAAGTGATAAATGTTTTATATAAGAAAAAAACTAAAGCAGAAGACTGTAATATGATATATTTTTCTCATTAACCTAATACCAAATAATACTTAAGATTAATTATCAAATACAACAACTTAAACTTATACATAAAATACAAAAGTTTTGCAGTCCTCTTTTTTATTTTTATACTGCACGACACCAGTTTTGAGAAATTTTATTTACAAGATGATGAAGAAAAAAGCAGATAACACTGAGACAGTGCTGCCACCTACCCTCTGTAGTTTGTCCCTCAGTAGTAGGTGCTGCAGTAGTAGTTGTGATAGGGGCCGCTTCAAAAACACTGGAATAGAATCCAGTAAAGGATATAAAGTGTGATGAAATAAAAATAAAAAAATTACAGCCTATTTATGCAAAGCAAAAATAAAATTATGACGAAAAGAAAAGAAAGAAAAAAATGAATTTAATAATCATACACATTTTGACGATATACATGTTCTCTAGAACTGTGCCAGAATATATCCTATTGGATTATCAAAAAAATAAGCATGCTATTCTACATGATATCAATTTTCATTTGAAAGAAATGTGACTGATTTAAAATGGACCACACTTTATGTTGTCATAACTCAAATTTCTAACAGCTTCAGCTACAGAGTATAATATAACCATCATCAACATGAGATTTAGATTGATAACTTACTCAAAATGGAAGTGCATATACAACTGTACACAAATGATAAAGACTCGATAACTTACCCAAAATGCCCAAGGGAAGTGCATGAACAAGTGACAAAGATTGATAACTAAATATCCAAAAATATCCAATATTTTGACTTGACAACTTACCCAAAATGCCCCAGGGAGGTGCATGAACAGGTAACATAGGTGGTGTCATTTCTAGCTGTTGGCTCTCCTGAAGTGCATTCACTCTTACTCCAGTCTGACCCTGTCCAGTAGCGACACTAAGGAGACAGTTTTTAATATTTTATCTTTGTTTCGTTAATTGCTTGTGTGACAATATTACATAAATGCATGATTAAGTACTGGTATGTGCATTTGCTTCAAGGTAAAACTGGCACTCCAATAATTTTATATTTATTTTCTTTAATTGCTAAATTAAATGTGATTACTTAATATATCTAGTATTTACTGGAGAGTAGTGATTACGAAACTACATGTAATCTTTCAAAAAAAAAATTACTTTGCCATTGCTAAAAAAAAAGAAAAAAAATTGTCACAGACATGCTGAAACTGCCGGTCCAATCAGTCATGACCGGGAAAATTTGTCTGGACCAGTAAAAAATTGGATATGGTCGGTCCAAAAGACCGACAAGAGTTTTAAGAGCAGCAATTTTGAATTTACAGTTATCATTTGACAGACATACTTCACTAATAAAATAAAATAAAACCAAAAGTGTTTTTCTGTTCCAGTTCTAACCTATCACATTCACAAACAAAGTAAGCTACCATAATTTTACTGGTAGTATCTGTCTCAAATGAAAAGGGTGATTTTCGGTCTGACAAAATTCCATTCGGTCCGGCAAATTTTTCATTACTGCCGGTCCAAATGTCCGGCCATTCTGAAAAGTTTTCAGCATGTGTCTGTTGTCATCATTTTCTTAATTATTTTCTTTACCCATAATGCAAGTCTGTAATTATAATCCATTACATATATTACATGTAACACATCTCCTAATGCCATATGCAGTAAGTTTCTAAGTTACCTCCAAACTGTACTGTGTCGTGTTCACTTCCCCAGTGATAGGAATGTCAAACACCATTGGCGTTGTCAGGTTGGTGACACTCTCGAATGTCTCTGTCTCCGTGTTCAGGAACTTCATCATGACAATGTCACTGCGGCGGGTACTGATGAGTGGGCTGGCCACGGTGGCCGTGATGGTCAGGTAGTCCTCCGGGAAGTGGGCAGAGCCAATGCACAAACCATAACATTGTGTGCTCCCTGTGCAATTCCAAGTAGTATAGGTGCTCTCTATCTCTGAACCCAGAGTCACCTGTAATGAAATTGCAAATGTTTTTTTTGTTCCGGGGTTATAGAGCTGACTAAATATCACTTGAAGATAAAAAAAATATTAGGAACTTAGTACACTTCATTAGCATAAATGTATAATTCATTTCTGCATCAAAATTGCTAAATAATGAAAAAACTACACAAAACCCTAATGAGAAAAACCACACAAAACCTGTTGAAAACAAACTGTTCATGTACAAAGAATTGTATCATACAATACCCACAGTTGAAGTATAATTCACAGTAGTTGTGCAGCCACTGCATCCAACATCCAGCGTTTCATTGTTGATCCCAGTGAAGAGCCGATTGTGTGTCTTCAGAACAACAATGGTGTTCTCTGCTAGAACGGCTTGGTCAGCTGTTGACAGACCACGGCACAGACCTTGTATAATATTGTTGATGTCATTGTTAAAATCTGTGGAGAGAGTTCTGGAGTTCCCATTCTGGTACAGCAGTTTGTAAGAGTTAAGCAAGTTCTCTGCCTGGAAAGAAAGTTTGATATTTTAAGTACTTAATGAAGACATCACTTTTAAAATTATTTTATTATTTGATCAATTGATGTTCAGTTTTCATTTCATATTGGTCGAAGTTCATGTCAATGAAAACTATTAGCACTTCAGCCATATAGCAAATATTTCTAAATATTTAAAAATCTTTATCATGAACAAATTAAAGTACAAATTATTGCCTCATTTTTTAAAAGATTGTCAATTTATAAGAATCATAAACTTTGTTTCTGGTACATAGCTAGAAATACATCTAGAAAGTTTCAATGTCATCTTGAGTTCCAGAATAAATGGAAATATAAATAAATAAATAAATAAATAAATAAATAAATAAATAAATGACTCATTTTTTACCTCAGCTTCTGACATGGAGACTCCACTGCTGCCTCCACTGCTGACTGATCTCTTTTTTCTTCTTCTTCTTCTTTCCGCTGCTTCAGTCACCTCCACTTCTGTATAAAAACAACACAGTCACAATGTTATAGTTCATAAACCAAGCATTTCAGTTACAAAAATACATATTTTTCTTCTTTAAATGATATTTAAACCTTTTCCTCCCATTTATTTTACTTCGTTTTTACACTGTTTGAAAACTCCTGCAGGTTCTTTGTTGAGTCAACAAATACAACATACATTGCCTTCTATTCAATTCATTATGCCTAAAATGGGTTTCATTCCCTGCAATGATGTATAAATTTTGTATTAAGGAATAAGACATTTTCATAGTTCATGGATCAGTGCTGTTTGGCAAAAGTGAAACTTATTCTGATATTGAAGTATAATCCAATATTATCAAAACTTCAGTCATTTGCCCTCTTTTCAAAACAAGCATATTAACAAAAATTTTGCAGCTGTAGTGAAATGCTTAAATATTTATTCCTATCAGCCATGTAAGTGACTAACCCTGCAACATTTTGGTGACAATTGTCTTCACTTTGGCTGAAAACTGGGTTTTTTCAAGGGTTCCTAGTCCATCTGACCCTGTCAGACTGACAATATTTTCCAAAGTCTTGGTATTAGTATCTCTATCAGCTTGCCTGAAAACAGAAAGAAAGAAAGTTAATACCAAATAATTTTACCTAGCAAAGCAAGTACAGTGGATTCAGGAATATTATTTTATTCCACATTATTCTGAGTTTCACTTTTTGGACTCAAGTTGCATTGTAGTCCTACAATTCATAGGAAATTTGAAGAATAAAATAAATCACAAATTAATAAACTGTTTACTAACAAAGAAAATTAGACAGGGACAACCACAGCATGGGAGATGGCTATATGTACAGACATGTGTTTCTGTTTATAAATAGAAGTATGTTGAAGTTTGGATTATAACACGACTTTTTTGCATTTTTTTTTTTTGTATATCTCTTAGTTATCTACTCCTAAGCAAATGACATATAACTTCAGCATTATGTCATACTAGCTGCTATGTGGTTCATTGAATTCATTTACTTTTTCTGCCACAGATCAGTTCTTAGGCACAGTGGCAGTTCACAAATGCTGCAGCAGCATAACTGTAAAAATGTGAAAAAGCACTAGTATCTTGTACTAGTATCTTGGATTTTTGGATATCTGTCCATGGATCCTTATAGCTGAATTAGAATTTCTAAATTCTTTTTAAAACTTTTTCTCTACAATGATATCTGAATTTGATCTATCAAGTGCATAGGGCACATAGTCACATATGCATACACTCTTAATGGCAATAGCACATAACAACTATCTAAGACTTACGCTGGGTCCATATTAATATTCGACTGGACCACAGATTTCTTCACTTCTTTCAGAGCTGCTTTTTGTGCTTCAATAGCTGATGCTGAAACATTCCCCCCACTGGTGAGGCTACTCAAGATGTTGTCAAATTGTAGGAGTGAGGCCACACTATCATCACCACCTAAAAACAATACATAAAAAAAAATGAAATATGTAGGTTGATAAAGACAATAACAGTTATATAGCAACCATGCATGCAGTAGTGTGCACTTATAAAGGATGAGTAAGCAGGAGATTGTTATTTGATACACTGTAGCTTTGTGAGTAATAATAATTTATTTAATGGGTGTGTTGGTACGTACATGTAAGGAAAAGAGAGAAAGAGAGAGAGAGAGAGAGAGGGGGGGAATATATACCTGTTTTCACTGTTTCAGAGATTGACTGTAAAGCGTTCTGCAGATCTGTATCACTCATGGATGAGGCCTGGGTAACATTGACCATCTGTGCAGCCACAGCTGTGTTACAGGCACCTTTCTGATCGCAGGCACTGACTCCAAACTGATAGCTTCCTGTTTATAATGTCATCATACTAGCTATTAGATGTGCAATTTTTGTAATGCATGTGCACAGACATACACGCAAATTAAATGCTATTTCTATTATATATGATTCACTTTGTTCATCATAAGTGACATTTTAGTAAAATTTCAATATTCTTGTAAAAGCGTGCATATGCCAACACATGCATGCACACACACTAGCTTTCTCTCTCTCTCTTTCTCAAACACACACAAACACCTACAAAGAGACAAGTTAATATACTGGCACATACAGAAGCTTTCTCAACAATTTTTTCTCTCCCTTTCTCTCTCTCTCTCTCTCGCACACACACACACACACACACACGCGCGCACACACACACACACACACACACACACACACACACACACACACACACACACACACACACACACCCAGGCCTGTAGCCAGCAATTTCTAAGGGGGGTTCTTTTTCTGAAAAAGTGGACCTTTTACCATAATATCCCCATGTACCTAGATCAAATTTTACCCAGAGCAGACCTTTTCCCAACAAAAGGGGCGGTTCTTTCGAACCCCCGAACCCCCCCTGGCTACGGGCCTGCACACACAACTTTCTCTGTAACCCACCAGCTTTAAGCATGCTGACAGTAAAGCTGTGGTCCCCAGCAGCACTAAAAGGCCAAGCATTCAGGTCGACCTGCTGTCCATCACTTCCTGTCCAGAAGTACTGAAGCCTCAGTGGGAAGTCCTCCGTATCATCTGTCCAGCCAGTGGTACTCAGGGTGAATGAACTCTTCAATTCTTCTCCAGTTGTGGGGGAGACCTGTGACAAAAGCATTTTTCACTTTATATTAAAATACAATGTTTGTGCAGTATTGCTGGGTTGACAGTTAAAGCAAGCGTTTACCTTCAGTCTGTACAAACTGTATACCCTTTAACTCTTTTAGTCAATAATGTTATAATTATAGATTTCATAAAATTTGTTGTATTGAGGTGCACTGTAAAAGTTAGTACCAGTAAATAAGCTAAATAAATCTAATATCTACTGTTTGCATTTAGTAACAGGTATACATTCATTGAACACATGAATGAAAGATATAATATTTATTTCCACAAAACTGCAAAATTGTTTTTCAAACAATAATGAACTTAAACAGTAAAAACAGCAGTATAAATCCATGGGTGAAAGTTGTAAAAACTGAAAATCCTCAAAACGTTGCTTGCAATTTCTCATCGCATTTACATCATACGAAAAAAAAAGGACTGAAAATTCTGAAATTAGGCATAATCTTGAAAACATTCACCCATGTGAATCTGCGATTTATTATAAAACCACACATACAGTTAATTCCCCTCCTGTAGGCACAGCATTGGTCTGGACCACTGTCTCAGCAAAACTGTCCTCTCCATTCGTTGGGATGACCGTGAGGCGGAATTTCATCTTGACCCCCTCCGGGAGCCTGCAGTTCAGGAGGTTGGCTGTGCAGAGGGCAAGGTCGGCAGGAAGGTTGGAAAATGACCCTTCAACCACACGGATGATATCACTCACACTGCTCACATACTGCTCCAGGTCGATCACGTGGTAGCCTTGATGAAGATATAACACAGACATTGTTAATTGATGCTGTTGCAGCATTATGATTTTGTTGCTACTAATGAATGTGATAGCTTGTAACACAAATAAATTTTCAACCATGACTTTTGTTCTTTCGTTACACAGAAAAGATAACACCTAAAATGAAAATGAAACATTTTTTATTTATAGTGGCCAAAATGAAGCTTAAAGGATGGTGTTCACATAAAATTTGATATATATATATATATATATATATATATATATATATATATATATATATATATATATATATATATATATATATACAGGGTGAATAAGTATACCATTATGGGACAAGATTGCTCATACAGGTCAAATCAGGGTCATATGATACAAAACATGTAATATAATTTAGCCCATTGTGAATACATATTCACCAGTTATCCCAATTAAAGCCTTCCAATCAGCTAAAACTGGTATTCAAGGGGTGATAAATTAATCCTGCACTTTTTCCATCAGACTGAGAAGCAGACAAATACAAATGTATTCATGTAATAATACACGAACATATAAGTGTACAAACCGTCTTCTACAACAGACTCCCAGATAATCACTGCGGAGGTGGGACTGCTCACAGTGGCCTTCAGGCTCAGTTTGTCATTAGGATTGACTTTTCCTCTTCCCACGGGGACATTGACAGTAGGGGGAGTGCCCGCCTTCACTTTCCTGTAGACAGAGTAGCTGGCACGTCTGTTGCCTTTAGCCATGGTCAGGGTGAATTTGTAACTTGAATAGAAGAATAGCAAGTAGAGATAAAAGAATAGCAAGAACATTTAGGAAAAACCGATGTTCATTCCATATAAATTTTGAATGTGAAACCTAATAATTAATATAATTACTCTCCGTCCTTTTTATGTTGTATTCAAGATGTCATATAGTCAATTTACATAGAATGAACTACATGTACTGTGACATAAAGTAATCATTAGAAGTCCACTGAAATGGGGATTATCAGGGGCAGATCCAGAGATATTTTCTGACAGTCTTTCAAATTATCTTTGCTGATCCATCCTCCATTTTTGATAGTCTTCTAACAGAAAAAAAATTAGATGCCCGTCAATGTAAACTTGAAAAATTCTGACTGTCCAGAAGATCCAGAAGATGGCCTCTGTCCACCCCTGATTATTGAGGCCGGCTGGTCAACTTTCGAAGACACTTACTCTGCAGGTCCCAGAAGTCCAGCTGCCAGAGTTAGTATTTGACCACCCTGGCTGGTAAAAGTAGATATGATACCATCCAGAGAGGAGTAACTGCCATTATGATTGACTATACACAAATTTGTTTCTTCTGTGCCATTGGAGCTGGTGGTTACAGTCTGAAAGAAAAGCAGACATGAAAATAATTTTTCCGGGAAATATCTAAAAATAAAACATGAAAAAATGAAGGTACAATTCAATTGTTTTTAAAATAAGTCATCATAAATAAGAGAATATGTTCAAAAAATCATTTTCAAAATATGTTTAAGCACAGAAAATAACTACAAATATTTTCACTTTTACTCGGTCATTTGGTGTGGTCACAATTTATTTTGACAACATTCCTGCACTTCTTGAATATAATTTGGGGTCATTTTTTATGGGGTTGATTCACTTCTTATCATTCTCATATCTTTTCTTTTTCATGTTAAGAAACATCTATACAGGAAATATAATTTTGTTGTACTAGTCATTTACATGTGCATCAACCAAATCAGATATAAGATATAAACTCAATAAACTAAAATTACCTCACAACCCCAAGTGAAGTAAGTTTGATCATCAGAGTTATCTGGATCTGAAGACCGTGTCCCATCAAGTACAATCTCACTGGTAGAACCCACCACCCCTCTGCTACCCAGGATTCTAGGCTTCAGGGCCTGGCTGGGCACTGTGATGTCCATTGTGGCAACAGTGGTGGCAGTGTCATCATCAGGGATTGTAACTGGTATCACAATTCACAAGTGATTATAAATATCAATGGTGACTTATACAGAATCCGAAACAAATGAAACATTTGTCCTCTGACAGAGGGACTTGAAGTATATTGTGGCAAAATTAAGAAACAATCAATGTGATTAATTTCTCTGTGGTTGATAAAGAGCACTCTTTAGGGGAGATGGGGCTGCATGACTTGCTTTCAGCCTCTGCTGCCATTTTTTTTTTTTTGGGAGGGGGGGGGGGCTTAAAAATACACAATCAAATGGTCAGGGGCACTTATACAGGCACCCACTGTAAATCTAAACTGCATTTTGATCAAGAATTAAATCTTTTGCAATTCCAAAATTGTATTCATTTGAAAATTAAAACTTTAATTGTTCTGAGTACGTAACTTGTGGTACTTGTGTTTGAGCACAAAAACTAAATTTTATTGATAGGCTAATAAACTAATCAAAATTAAGTTACATTTGTCCTTAATAAATATTACTTGCAACATATGGGTATCAAGAATGCATAAAATGCTTCCAATAATTTCATTATTCAGAATTTCTTATTGTATTGTTTTACTGTGCCAAACTTACCTGTAGCCTGCACTGTGTATGTGCGACCACCTTTAAGGTTGTTTCTAGGTATCATTACTCGGCCAGGCTTGGGTAGAGAAGTAAAGGTCACACCTGCAGCGTTGGTCACCTCCCATACCACCTAGAGTAAGGAACATTTTTAAAACACAAATCAGTGGGTGTCAATATAAACATCATATATAAGAAAATAATATATATGTTATGGGTTAACATTTTATTATCAATAAATGTCTACTAGCATTCAAATTTCATTTTAAAAGAGACATGTTTTCCTAAAAGTTTAGTGTCTGACGAAGACATTTTACCATCATTACAATACACAGGCAACATTTCAAACAACAGTTTGCAGATTACTTCTATTTCTTTTTATCTAAAAATCTTTGGTTTTTTTTTTCATAGTGCACATATGGTTATATACTTACAGACACGGAAGACAGAGATCCATTGAAGCAATCTGATGTTTTGATGCGTATTCCAAGTCTAGTGACTCTGTCAGGACGCACAGTGCCAGTTAAAGGCTCAAACATAATGGTGAGAGGTTTGTCCCCCACATCCCTGGACACAATGACGTAAGCCTGGCCTCCTTCTCCTAAAGAGTTTGATACTGTTGCGGTGAAGTTGTAAGCAAAACCTGGTATTCCCTGGGGAAAAAAAACCAAGTGTGATCATTGTCAATGTGACTTTACAGAAACAGCAATTGCTTCTTGCAATCATTCAAATCATTCAAACTGATCATTCCAAAACTTGAATTTGGCCAAATGCTGTTTCAACAATTGGCACCAATTTGATGTGAAAGATTTGGTATAAAGTATCAGTTTTTCTCTTTACCTTTACGTGCCTCCCACCTCTTCACCTTAAGAGATACCCCCTTTTTTCCATAAAAAAAGCATCTTTTGCATTCCAACTTTCATTCATTTTTGTAAAATTGTTCAGATGTCCACTATTTCACACTTGCAGAACAAAGTCTTAGCCTTGTGCTCCCCCTCCCAGCCAAAACCCTGCATACGGTTCTGTCATTGCCATACACTAGTACCTACCATGTCTGATGCCACTGGTATCTTCCTGGCTCTAGAAGGAGCAGAAGCCAAAGCTGCTTGCATTTCCTCCAGGTCAGTCTGAGCAGCAGACGTGATGTTGTTCGCTGACACAGTGTCCGCGAAGGTCACGTTCCAAGAGAGGCCAATGCCGCAGAGGCCAGTTGTGAAACGAGCGCGGATGTTAAAGGAATCACAGCTACCAACAGTTCCAGGTCCTACCAGTTCAACTTCAGGAATGGCGGATTCCTGGAGAAAGAAAAGCCCATGCAGGTATTAATATCATAGTTCAGGCACATGGGAACATAATTTTATGTTAAAATAAGGGGCAATCCCCCTCCTTTCTTCATGCATTTATGTATTAATCTTATGACTAAAATGGTTGAAAAAAGGACCTTCATCCTGCATCTACAATATTTGCACAGCAAAGTTTTTTTTCTGACAACAAAAACAGTAATTTTACAATTGCAAAAAAATTCACAAACAAACTTATAAGCACTCATTATTAGCCAACTTGCAAGTAACAGTACTTCTTGAGTCCCTTAAAAATGCATACAACTGATTCCTGACAAATTCTTAGCAAACTTGTAAATCAGACTTGTCAAGAGATCCAGTCTATTATAACTGTATAAAATATACAATTTGACACATTTGATGATCTAATATGAGTACCCTAATTCATTTCTTGACCTATCACAAATATGCTACGAAATCAGTGTGAACCACTCACTGGTCTGGTAACAGTTTCTGATCCTGTAGCGTAGTTGGGTACACTTGACCCGGCCGTGAAAATCACATTGTCCCGCAGTGTCAAGGTGTCTCCAGGACCGACACTTGCTCCGGGGCGACCAAGAATAACAACAAGCTTTCTGGATCTGATTGCACAGATAGGGTCTGTTTAAAAGAGAAAAAAGTTAAAATTCATAGCATCACATAAAAGGTAATAAAAAGGAAAAAAAGGTAAAGGTATAGCCTGATTATCCTTTAAAAAAATAAATTAATTAATTAAAAAAAAAAAAAAAAAAAAAAAAAAAAACATCAGCCAGGCTTAATAAAACAATAGATGCCTATACCTTGCATTACATGTAATACTTATTTATATAAGTAATTTATCATGATAAAAACATTTATTATAATGTAATTTTGCTTATCATTTCTTCTATTATGTGTAAATAAGAAGTATGCTTTATCATTTTAAATTGCACCAAAAATACATGACAATAACAACATTATTTTAAAAATTCAATATATCTTATCATCATGCCATAAAATTTACCAAAAAGCTATTTTCCCTGATTTAAATGCTGGAACTGTACAATAAAAAGCAATGAATTTAAGCTTGTGGAGAAACAGATTTTTGACTGTATCTGTACTGTACGAACGATAAAAAAATGAATTGTTTCTATAGACAACAAGGAGTCCTATAGGAAATTTTTGGAAGGGTGATTTTGGCAATTAAATATAATTGATGACTTTACTTACTGGTACCAAAGGTGGCAACACTTGTGAAGAACTGGCTGCAATCTGTGGTGTCTGGGCCATCAATGTTCACATCAAAAGTGACAAACACACGACACATACTTCTGCCCAAGATCACCGAGGCAATCACTGGTTTCTGTGCATTGATGGTAAACAGGGCAGGTTGACTGAAAAAAATTTTTGAAAGATTTTAAGCTTGAATAGCAAACATGTCAATTTGAAAAAATAACTAGTAAATCCAAACCCTCATCTTTTAGTTTAATTTTTTTCAGAGGCATAGTAAAAACTGAGTATATACCGGGTATATTTATATATCCAAAATCACTTTATATTAAAACTGATAATTAAGCATACTATCAGAATAATAAATAAATAAATCACTTTTATATAGGTGCTTATCAGTTCTACATGAAACATAAATCAATGCATTTAATATCACCCACACCAGTGGCAGACCAAGGATTTAGCTTAAAAAAGAGGGGATAAAAGGGACAGAAATGATGAAAATTGTCTTACTTAGAAAAAAAAAAGGAATTGAGCACTGCTGCAAATGTCCTATATCAATTATCTACACAGGTTTAATGGGAACACCATACCTTGTTAACACATCTTCTCTTGTAAGGTTCTCAAATGCAACACTAATGTTGAGGGATTTGCCGACTTTTACTCCCGAAAGACAACTCAGGTCGCACTGAATAGCACTTGAGTTCAGATAGGTCGCCTAAAAATACCACATCACATTTTTAAGATATCTATGATATTAAAAATAATTATGCCAACTTGGATGAAGCTTACAGAAAACAGGTTTTCTGTATACATATAGGTCCTTTGAGATTTGCTTAGTTCACAAGTATAAATGATTAAGTTGAACATATTTGTGTGCTGTTTACAATGAGATATAGACAAAAGAAAGCTCATTCAATTTGTTTAGTTAAAAATCTTTGATCAATACTATATAATGCTGTAGTACTTTTGTGTGCCCCTCAAAGTTTGTGCCCAAAAAGAAGAGATGCCAAGTTAGATATTTATCTTTAAATGTCATCATTATTAATTATTCGCTAAAAAAGATCATTTTTAATCAATATCACTCAATTCTGTTGGAGACTTACTGGAAAATAGATGATGCCATATCTGTCTGGTTGACAGGTGCTAAAGAAACCGCGCTCCTTCTGCCTGATGATGTAGGAATAACACAATGTTGTATCCCTATTCAAGAAGTTCTGACCCCTTACAATAGCCTGGGAAAAATGAAAAAAAAATTTTTTTACATCTATACTGTTTCCTTAAAATAAATGAAATATTGAATAAAGAGATTTATTTTGATTTCTTTTTTTTTTTTTTTTTTTTTTTTTGCTATTTATTTATGTTAGGAATTTTTCTACTGTAGTTGAATTTTGATAACAGCATTTCTATCTTTTCTTGCCTTCAATATAAGCTAAAAATATAAGATTGATAAAAACTACAGTCGATTTTAAAATCTTTATAAAAGCCCGCAAATGTCCTTAAGTTTGTGACTTGAGAACAAAACCAGATAATACTCTGTTTTAATGGTATCATGAAATGCTAAAATGAGTAACAAGAATATGCACATTTTTTAGCTCTATTAAATGATAAGCATTACTTTAAATGAAATAGTATAGGTAGCTAGAGAAACTATAAAATTTAAAGATATTCAAAATTAAATACATTAAATCCCATTATTCTTTCAACAACTTACATTTACAGTGTCTCCAATATTCATATCAGATGGCACAATGGCTGACACAGAGGGTGAAGCATACAGTGTGTATCTCTCCCCGGCCATCTGAAGGTCGACATTACCGCCATTAGCATTGGTGAACGTACAGGATGGGATGTACTGTCCGCCATTTGCATTGTTAGTTGTGTCTGGGACCCTAGCAAAGATCTTGTCTCGAGCAGCATGGAAGTACAGCACTGTTAGAGGAATTTCCTGGGTAAAAAGAGTTGATATACGTAATAAGTATTTATACAGTGTATAACCTTAACAATAATTTGAAAAAAAAAAATTTGTTAAATTGTCAAAACTTGGATTTAAGATAGCAGTAGTAAATATAATTTAATGAGGTAAATGGGGAGTTTTTCATAACTTAATCAATTACATTTTATGATATAAAATGGTGATATATATACATCACCATATCTGAAATATTAAAAACACATAAGCTGACATTCCAGATAATGGGAGCTTCAGATGGATGGAAATAAATCTCTTTTATATGCAACAAACAACTGCAATCTCAGAATGAACAGATTTCGAGAAATGATGGACAACACATATTGGTACCTACAGCATTTTGAATGAAATCATATATTTCTCTATGACATATGATTCTATTCCAGTAGTTACCTGAGAAGTGGATTCATGGACTAGTTTACAAGTAGGTGCCTGGTAGTTAGAGAGACTGGCCCCATGTATGATGACAGACTCAGCCACACCCACTCTGCTGATGGCTGGGTAAATGGAATGAATCTTAATACATCCTACAAAGGAAATTTAGAAAAAAATGATACAAAATTTATTGAAATTATTTGATTCAAAGCACATATGTTGACTGCACATTGATTTTCAATATATAGGACCATTAAACTTTTTATTTTATTAAAAGTACACCAGGGGAAGAATTGTTTGTCTAAGTGAAACTAGTGAGTCCAATTGAGTCTAGCAACTTTAAATCAATAAAGAAATGATTACTAGATGTATCTGTTCTGACACACACACACACACACACACACACACACACACACACACACACACACACACAAAAAAAAAAAAAAAAAAAAAAAAAAAAAAAAATGGTAGTTCACATTTGGCTTAAATGACCTTCCTGCTGGCATGTCCTAGGCCACCAGTCACCTACCTGCTCCCCAATTTGGGTCTGATCTTGTCATACACTGTCCACAGGGATCCTCTTGCTGGTTGCCATTGGCTACCCCAGCACAGTCCACACATGCATTAGTGCCATTGCATTCACCGCAGTCATCCATCCCATAATTACCTGCCCTACCAGTAGTGCCACCCACACAATGGCCGCAACTAAATTTGAAAGCAATTTGAATTTGTTTGTTTTAGTTTGACACCAATTGGCTGCCAAAGACAATAATTTACAAAATGCGTAATACTGGTATGAGTATGCAAAATTTGTAAAAGTGCTACATGTAATTTTTTCTTTCGTATTTGAATCAGTGCACGAATCGTTCCAAAAGCAAATGCTACAAAACACCTTCAAAGATAGTGATATGGTGAAATTATTAGGTGACAAACAGAGTTTTACATATCTCTCAATTGCAGGGCATCACATGTGTGGATGTCATTTACAATGAAAAAATTATCATTCTTTAATTAACTGGAAGCTAGGGGTCTAGAGCTTAGCTATAAATGATAAAGGAAAATTAAAAATGACTAACGCTTCCAGGAAAATCTTTGTACATGTACATGTATATAATGGTGTGGTCATTACATGCTTTGTGACAGCATAATTCAAAGGATAGACAAGATCATCTTAAGTCCACTGTTTTAAAGAAAACTTACTCATTGATGTCTGCTCCACTAAGCAATACACCATCACAGAAAATTTTCCTGATGGCTCTGTCTCTTTCTGCAGCATTATTGCTTGCAAGGGGGTGATCTGCTCTATAAATGAGAAGAAAATACCTCTATGAGTGGGTGTTGGTACAACATGTTCGGTGGTGGATTTAAAGGGAGGGGGGGCAGGGGAGTCCTGATCCTCCCCTTCAGTTTCTGAAAAATATTTCACACTTATATTCCCCTCTTGAAATTAGAATTTTGACTAGCTGAATCATAGTTCTAAACCATACCAAAGGGCAACATTTGCCCTCCAAAACACCAAAAAATTTTCAGAGCCCTTAAACAGGCCCGAACCCCACACCAAGGGATGATAGTCAGCTTTGCATCCGAGGCCTGGCATTTTGACCCCCCACTTCAAATAATCCTCGATCCGCTCCTGATGTACATGCACATGATTGCACGATGCTAGCTGACCCATAATTTTGCTGAGGGGGCACAAGGATAAAATATTTTGCCCTGTTTCACAGAGCAAAAATAAAAAGCAGTCAATAACACACTATAACTATTCTTTTAAGAGAAATTCTTGAATGATAGAATATATGCTGCAGTACCTGTGGTCAAGTGCCTCAGTAACTTGTTAACACAGTTCTTCATAGTTCATCTGCAGAACAATCATTTTATCGTGCTTTAACACAAATCTCACATAAATACACTTACCGAATACAAAGACTCCTGTTTCCTGTAAAAGTGTCATAAGTTACTGATACAAATTCACCACAGTGTCCAGCGCAGTCCAGTCTGTAGTTGGTGGCTAGACCAGTGGTGCCCCCTGTGCAGTCGCCACAAACATCCCAGTCAGCACCTGGAGACCATGTAACATAATTAATTTCATTTACTGCAGTATTAGGCCACTCAAATCTAAAAAGGGGTTGTTCTTGGGGACAACATTGATTTCATGCCTTCTCAAGGGCTATAGCTAGGAGAAACATATATATTTTTAAAAAATATCATATCTTAGAGGAAAAAAATTCAAAAATCAAACTCTAAGCAGTTATATTGTGGTAATATATGGAACACAAAGGAGGATGGTGGTGTTTAAGTTTCACATTATTATATCATGTTTCAGGGGTGGACAGAACCCGTCTTCTAGGTCTTATGGAAAATGGTTAGAATTTTTAAATTTCTACAATTACAGAATATTGGAAGATGGATCTACAAAGAAAATTTGGAAGACTTTCAGAAAATATCTCTGGATTCGCCCCTGATGTTTCTTTACCTCCATTGACGACTCCAGCGCAATCCATACAGTACTTGTCATCTTCACCACACATTCCACATTGGTTCTCAACCTTTCCACTGCTTGGTATGCCATCACAGCCAAGGCGGTGCATCACGCTGCTGATCCAGAAGAAGGACAGAGAGCTGCTCCCGCCACATTCCTGTGTGAGATATGCAATATAATCTAATGAGTATAACATACAGGCATACTAGTGCCTTTTACATGGGGAGGGGTCTAAATTCTGTAAACTCTTTAAATCAAAAGCCTAATATAAAAAATATCAAAATACCGAAGAGAATCCACTATACTAAAAAAGGCTCCCATATATGATAAAAATTCATTTCTGTGAAAATGGATTACTAATACAATAATGTTCACAGCCAGAAGGGCAATAAAGCATAAATACAAGTATGATCACTACATGTCCATTATCAATATACACAAGTACCTTGTAACATATGTTCCTCTGAAACTACAACACTACAGAAATATTTATATAATTGCAGGCTATGTTTTAAAGAATCAGTAAGTGTCACAGGAGTTATAAATATGGGTGGACCTCTTGGTTACTGCGCATGCTCTTGCTAAAATAACACGGTGTTTGAAAGAAGAACACAATTTTCCAGGCTAAGAGAAATTACTAGTAATGTACACATCCAATATTGTGCAAATACACACCATATGAAAAGTGAGTGATAAACTGTTATGTGTTATATTTTTGGGGGGTGGGTGGGAGGGGTGGGTTGGGGGCATGTGCTTCAGCTGTAGCACACATGATATGAGATATAATTCTATCTTGTATGACTTGTAGACAAAACCTACATGTTAATGTATACATTTCTCATCCTAAAAGAAACTTTACATAAATATAACAGCAAAATAATTGTGTTTGGTTTCCTTCGTGAAACTGATGGTACAGGATTGGGGTTAATACAATGTGACAACATCCATACAATACTCTACCTCACTATACCCAAACTCGGCCTATGGATATATGTTTGAAGTATTATATATATATATATTTACATTTAATATAAACATATATTTGTTTTCAGTCACTCAATCGTTTAATTTCACACATGAACTTACAATTGAATCTTTCTCATCTCAAATTCAGCATACCCTACAGTGTGCCTATGTTTTTTTTCCATACATACCTTTTGCAAACTAATTATTTTAAGTAGCTTAAAATGTATATAGATTAGATGAAATTAATAATGTCCTATTATAACAAATGAATTCATTGTTGTGGCACATAAACTGCAGACATTGGTCCAAGGCTATGAAAACAATGATTTTTAATACCACCATTTCAGCATCATATGTACCCATGCTGGGCTAGTTATTTGCTTCTTCACTTTTGAGTCTTCATATGGCTTCTAATGTATCAGTGACAGTGAAGTAAAAATATTATTGATATAAAATATTTGAAAATGAAATGGTAAAATGTACCAGTTGGGTCTAAAGTACAGTTACTCAGTCTCTGTCTCCTTAAAAATCCCACTCACCAAGCAAGGCAGGGCAAATGTGACGTTACTTCCAGAGGTACGATTATCTGTCATATCCCATGCAGCGAAGGCAAACTTAGTGGAGCGCAGGGCCTCAAACCTTCCCCATGTGGTATTACTAAAACACAGATCAATTTGTATAAGCAATAACATTTTTGCAGCATTCAAGATATCTTCATAAAACTCTCAAGCTTCTTTAAACATGGCACTGCTGCCATGACTGTTAACTGTAATTTGGCAACATCAGTACAGCAAATGCTACTCTAAATGACTGGCCAGTCATGTAAAACTTTATTTTTATATCAAAATGGAATATAAAAAACACAGATCCAAATGCAGGCATGGGTTGAGCAATTATTTGTGAGTAGGAGAAAAATTACTTTTTCCCCAAAGGAAAATTTGTTTTGGCAGGAAAATTGTATACATTACAGAGTACCTTGAAAGTGAGAAAACGTATTTAATATCTGTAATATTTAAGAAGTAAGGAAGGCAAGCACAACTGTACTTACGGTGAAACTGGATTGTAACGCACACGGGCATTTGGGTCGAGTAGGAGGGCAGTGACATTTACACTGCTTATGCGTCTAGCAATCAGCTGTTTGCTTGCGTCATCCACTGTGCCATATGAGATCATCTTGTACAAGACATCAACATAAGCTGGGCTTGTAGCAATCTTTATTACATCTTCAATGTTGGTATCTAAATTGGTAATGTCTTTCCAGTTTTGTTGGCCAGGTGTTTTGTACTGAAAATTACCTGTAAAGAAGATGGGTTAATTAATATACTGGTATAAGAAACAATTTGTTTGTCATTTCACTTTCTTCATAATTGTTTTCAGTTCAATGATGTTCAAAAAAGTTCATATCTACATGTATGCAAGTGAAAAAATTCACTGCAGCAAAGGCAAAAAACACAGCTGGTTTCCGTCATTGATCTTTCTGTTAAGTATTCTATATTGGTACTAATACTAAGCATGGTTTTTCAATTAAAGGCTGGACTGGACACTTAAGAAAAGATTAACACATTTGGAAATATACCATACAAACATATTTGGACATATAAAGTAACCATATTAAATAACCTTCCCAGGGAGGCAAGATTGTCAACACAGATCATAATGACCAGGCATCAAACTGTTATGTACAGGTGTATATGTGCCACACATAATTGTACTTATTGTAAAGTCTACTGAACAGATTTGGAATTTAGACTTAAAATAAATATATTATTATTATTATTATTATTATTATTATTATTATTATTATTATTATTATTATTATTATTATCATAACCAGTACATATCTTGTAACTAACCAATAGCAGAATCCTTCGCTCTCAGTATGGCCAGACCCAGGGAGGGGCTGTCCTGATCCGCCCAGAATCTGTTCACCAATTCACTGGCAAGAAAACCATCGTTACTGTTGATGTCATAGGGCATGTGTGGCAGTAGGAAGTTCCTGAACTCTCTGTCCGTGAGAGACAACGTGTCTTTGTCAGAGTCAAAACTGACCTGAGGTGCATCATTGGCTGGATTGACCTAGTATGTACAAAAATATGGACTGTTAATTGGTTTATTTTTCTCCTGTGAATTAATATATTTATACAGAACATATTTTTATATTGTGCCATTATGAACTATAATACAGTATACAAAAATATTGAGAAATTAGGATGTGTATATAATATGTGACAGATTAAGATTTTATTCTAAATTTGACATTATGAAAAATGTAATATAATATAGCATAAAAAGAATCATAGTAACTACAATTTAACCTTTCAAATATTGTTTTGTAATGTACATTATATTATAAATACATTATAGATTGCTTATAAAATAAATTATGAAAAACATATACAAAGAAAATTCAGATATATTAATAATAACAACCTGTATTGTAAGATATTGTCCATCTCCAAAACTATTGTCACCTAAGTCAGTACCATCCCAGGGCTGTAGGATAAGGCGGAAGCTACCTGCCCAGTCTTTAGTCGGCACAAACGCAAATTGGTTCACATCTGTGCTCAGCACGTAGTCACCGTATTCATCAGGCCTGATGTAGCCCCAGGCTGCCCATTTCCTTAAGTCACTTGGCGAGGGAAAGTTCACCCCTGCGTTAGCAGTCGATGGCATCAAGCCGAGTCTGACCATGTTGTTCATGAAGCTATAAGCATTCTGATTGGTCAGCATCATATAACCAGCCCAATCTTCATGGCTGACTTCATAGAAACCTAGGTTAAACATTACTTCTCTGCGCTGATTCCCCTTGATGTACACAAAATCACCTTGAATAAATCAAAAAATTCATGAGATTTTGCCAAAAAAAAGGCTCAAGAGACAGTACTGAATTCTGAAATTATTTGATAAAAAGGGTTTTTTCACTTTTTTTTGTCTTTCCATGTTCTTCAAACCAATAATGGTCACCAGTACATAATTCAAACACTGTTTTAAATGAGTAGCTAATGCTTCTGCCCTTATATTTTACTGAGATGTGAAATTGTAGTGATATGAATAATTCAAACAGAATTATTCAATGTTCAAAAGGCAAAAATATTAAATCTCATATTGGACAGTTACTTAAATCTGCTAGATGTAATGCACAGTCCCTGCATAATACTGAGTATCTAGCAGGTCTAAGTGAGTATCCAGTATAAGATTTAATATTTTTGCCTTCTGAACATCACAACTGGATAATTAACATTTTGACAGAATTATTTTATGCATGTACAATATGTTCCTGAATACAAATTATAGACACTTGGCAAATGTTTGAGTATATCAATTCTTTACATGTTCCCTATTCATTTTTTCAATGCACAGCCAGAACTTTGACCAAGTGTCACTTTGACTTAATATACAACAACGTTAAATATGCATATAAGTCAAATTAGTCAAAAACCTTCACAATTCCAAAGTAATATATTGCTGCACATTTTGAAATTTTCTTAATAGGAACCAGATGATAAGCACTAGATATACACAATAGTGACAAACTGGCAGGGGCTATATATAGTTATGAATAAAGAAGCTGACCTGCAATGTCATCAGTTGTTGTTGGTGGATGTTCATACTTGACCAGCACTCCCAGAGGTTTGGTCTTCAGAGCCCTGCGCTCCTCCATCATGGACTGATACATGCTGTTGTAATGCTCATTCATCTGCTTAATGTAGAATGGAAGGTTGCGGTTGTTGATGTAGCGTAATACATGCTTTAGTGGGAAATCTGAAATAGAAAGAAAGTATATTGATTTACACTGAAATTCAGGTTGCTCTGAAACTACAGGTATAACAGTACAAGTTTATACAAATTGATGGTGGTTATCTTTGCAGCTTAATTTCATACCATATTCTATGTAATGGCCAAATTTAGCTGCCTAGTTTGTTAATTAAAACTACATTTGTCAATATGTTTGTGAAAGCACAGCAGATCTCAGGTAAAGGAACTTACTTATTTTTGTGTCATTAGCATCAGGATGGCTTAGAGTGAAATAGTCCCACATGTTATACACTTGATCTGTCTGGTCTTCTGACAGAGATAAGACAACATCCTGTCCTGGTCTAACGGGAGTCAAAACAGGCTTGTGTTTCACTGGCAAGATGATCTGTGCCAGACTGTGGTTTGCCACAACTGAACGCAAGCACAGAAAGATTCAATTAACTGAAGCAAATGTTATGCATATATGCACATTCATCACAAGGTTTTCAAAACAGTATTAGGTTATTAAACCAAACAAGCTTCTTGGTTGTCCAGAGAGATATATATACCGGTATAGCTAGTCTGTAAAACCCAAGCCCAAGTTCACACAAATTTGACTTAACATGGGTCCCAAACAACCCAACCTAAATGAGCTCAAGCAGGACATCCACCTTTGATTATTGGTGGTGAATCTGACTAACAATTGCATGTACCATTTTAAACATCACTGTACCTTGACCATTTGTATCCAATGCCTGAACTCCAATGGTGGCCAATCCATGTGTGTCGTTCTCAGGAACAAACTTCAGTCTGTTGTCTGACGACATTTGGAAACCATCTTGTACTGTGTTCCAGGTGTGACCTAAAGTAAGAAAGATCAGTTATATGGTCTTTTTATCAATGTAATAAAGACCAATTCAATTGCTCAATCAACTTACACCAACTGAAGCCATTAATTAAGGTTGTATACCCTGAAATGTATCACCATGACCTAATTTGAGTTCTTTCTTTCATTCTTTTTTTAAACTTTTAATTTATGTACCAATCTATCATATCTTAAACCATCTTGGACATTTAAAATAAATGGAAGGTTTTTACATGCCATCACAAAAATAAAGTTACCATGGTCAGATGAGTATTGCCAGTTGCCTGGTTGAGTGCTATTTTCAGGCAATACAAGTCGAACTTGATCCCCTTGAAGAAGTTCCAGCATCAGACCAACATCGAACCCTTGGTAATCTGGTGAGGCACTAAAAACTGGATCCACTGCATCAGCTATGGCATGAATTACTCCACTTCCAACTATAAAATAGAAATGGGTCTTATAGTCATGGATGTCCCCACAACCAGGAATGAAAGAAAGTGAAAGTAGATAAAGGATAACACTGGCAGAAATGAAACTGACTTGGTAAACATCTTGGCCAAAAATTGTTCATGTTCATGATCTCCAAACCAGCTAATACACATAGGCAGCAAAGCTTCCAAATGTGCAGGCATATAGCAGACAATAATGAAGGCAGCACAGTTATTGGGGGTTTGTCAATTTTGACATGAAATCATATTTTATAATTATGATTAAAAGCATCATTACCATCCAATTTTTTATATGTACCAATGTTGCTGTGGACATTCAGAAATTGCAAATTGCACAGGGCTTTAAACCCATGGAATTTCAAAAAGTCACACCTTAAAAATGCGAATGTGTAGTGTAGAAAATGAAATATTCACAAAGCATGAACATCTTAAAGAAATATGGCACAAAAAGCTGCTTTATGAATGTGAACTGTACTGAAATGCTTTAAAACACTCCAGTAAAGTTGAGGATAATAAATTGAGGCACATGGCTATCTGTTAATTACTTTAACTGTGGAAAGTGCATGGCAATGACAACATATGCAGGTGACATCCACAGGTACTGAATTATGCTGAATTAGCTATTATAAATACAACTCACCATCAAAATCAGTTGCTCCAATGTCTGGCACCACACAGCAGCCACTACAGCACATCATGTAATCCAGCACACAATCTGTATTTCTGGAGCATGGGGAATCAGCACAAGTGGCTGCTGCACCACTCCCAGATGAACCACTGTAGCCTGATCCACCACTGGATCCTGAACTGCCACTGCTTCCTGACCCGGAGTGAGAGGAGTTTGACTGTGAGGACCTGGAGACCCCAAACACAGACAGGACACTGGTGGCGCCAAAACTGCCGTCAAGACCGCTGAAACCAAAAGAGCCACTGAAACCAGTGAAGCCACTTAAAACAGATGTTGGAATGCTGCTCATCACAGTCTGCAGATCTACTTGGCCACTTTCCAGAGATGAAATGAAAGATGCTTTATCAACGATGTTCAAACCCAGTAAATTGAAGGCGCTTTTTATGGTTTCCCAAGTTTGAGAGTCTAGGCTGTTCAGCAGGCTCACAAAGTCAGCTACAGTAAAACCCTGTGCTCCACTGTCACCAAGGAGACCACTACCTCCTCCATTGCCAAATGTAGGGAGTGTTAGCTGCCTCTTTTTACGACCTCCAAAACCATTAAAACCACCGAAACCACTGGTACCGCTGAAACCACTGTCACCAGTGAAACCACTGGTACCACTGAAACCACTATCACCGGTAAAACCACTGTCACCAGGGAAACCACTGTCACCGGTAAAGCCACTGTCACCAGTAAAGCCTCTGTCACCAGTGAAACCACTGTCACCAGTAAAGCCACTGTCACCAGTAAAGCCTCTGTCACCAGTGAAACCACTATCACCAGTAAAGCCGCTGTCACCAGGGAAACCACTGTCACCGGTAAAACCACTGTCACCAGTGAAACCACTGTCACCAGGGAAACCACTGTTTCCAGTGAAACCACTGTCACCAGTGAAACCACTGTCACCAGGGAAACCACTGTTTCCAGAGAAACCACTGTTTCCAGAGAAACCACTGGTACCACTAGAGCCTCCTGCTGAACTTACTGCATAATTCACAAGAGTGCTCAGTGAAGACTTAATATCTTGCATCCTTACATCACCACGGCGAATCATGTTACTGAAATAAAAAAGGATTGAATTATTGTTGCAGTTACCACTTTAAGGCTTGTCCTTCAAGGCTGATAAAATAAAAATCAGATCCTGCCAAGTGACATAAATTACCCATCTATCTAAGGAAAATTGAGCATCCCCCCAAAAAAATTTCTGCATACCTTTTTAAACAACATTACTTTTAAAATCATTCAGTAGCTCATAATTCAAGACAACAGAATTTTGGTATTAAATTTTGTTCAGGTTTATATATTCTTAACCACTTTTTTTCTACCCTTTATGTTTCTTTTATATATAATTATGTCTTAAAAAATATATTTTCATCTTGTAAAGTCTGCTGAACATATAACGGATTTTTAAAGACTTTTATGTCCATTTTGATTTGGTCCATCAGTGAGGGGGGAGTGAGTGAGTTTTGGCCTGATATCATTTGCATTGTGATTAGTTGTCCAAGGGAGATTTTAAAGGAGCATCAAAATGGTGACAAGTTTTGTTCATTTCTTAATTTTAGTAACAGTTTACAGTATAAATGTTGGATGCAAGCTGATAGTGTACTGTACTGTGACAGAGGTGAGTTTACAGCAAAATGCTAAGGATGCCTTCTGTTGACCCCATCCAGTGCAACTGACTTAGAAAGCATTGCCACAATGAAAGATAAAAGATCATGCCAAATATATACCTGTAGGTGGCTTTATCTGGGAACTGAATTCCAACAACAGAGTACACAGATCTGTACTTTTCCCACATGGCATCATCCATGCCATCCAGAACATCCAGAAACATCTGATCTGATGGCCTCGTTGACATGAAGTTCAACAAGCCATACATCAACTCAGCTGTCACAGGATCTTGCTGAGCATTAAACTCTGCTGCTATCACCAGTCTTTCAACATCTTGCGTAATTTCCTGTACTGTCACCCGCCCCGTCATCAACATGTTTCTGCAAAGGAGTAATAACAGTCATCTGATTATACTACGTGAATTAATTGTAGACCTTTTTTTTGTTTTGATATAATGCTCAACTTTCTCTGTTCACTAAGGTCAGCTAGCACATTGCTGAGTGGGTAGGATAGTTATATAAGAGGTAGATAAACATAGTTTAGAGCTTGACTTGGAAATTATCAAACCAGTTAAACCATATATTATTCCTTAAATTATTTCAAAGCACTGAGCTCAGCACCAGCATGTTTTTCTTATCAAGTATCTTGCTAAGGGACAGCTGCACAGGGATGAAGTTTCAAAAAAAAAAGTTGAGGTAAATTTTTATTTAAATATCCATATGTACAGCCACTGGTAAGAATAACTTTTGTCTTGTAACACTGTCTGTACCCCCAACCCCTATGAATCCACCTTTGTTTAATAAAACCCCCTTTACACTGGACGGCATCCTTTCCGTTTCCTTTGTGCGACCATATTGAAACTGGCATTGATGTGGTTGTAAAAAGGAGGCACAAGCATGGTTTTGGTTGCAGAATGAATACTCAATGATTGTCCCACTGTCGGCATGTGAAGTTTTTTTTTTATTACGTATTCTCAAACAGGGCCAAAATATGTGGGACCCAGAAAGGATGCTGTCCAGTGTAAAGGAGGTTTAAATGACAGTGATATTTACATGAAAACACTCTTGTCTGGAATATCCTTGTGGCTGGTGAGAGACACCAGGAATTGGTAACGATGAAAATCAGAGTCGGACATCGTTTCAAGCAGTCGAGTAAATTCCTGGGTGGATGGATTGTTGTCAAAATAGTTCTTCATGGTGTAGATCAAATCGGACACACCCATATCTGCATTGCCATCTGGGTTTGGGCACACACCTTCACGGAATTCTGAAAAAATATTGACACCTGTTTGATTCATCTGCATTCAAGCAATGATATAGATCCAACTTTGCTTTTATTTTCACAGAAAACGTTGACAAACATTAGGGAAAAATGTTGTATAAATGCAGTAATTAAGAGTATGTTAATGAATGTATGTAGTACAAATGAATACTGGTATTCATTAGCAGCTATATACTGCATATGATGGGGTGGGGGGTGGGGATAACTATATACTCTTGTTGTTTGTTTACCAGTGGCACTCAAATTCAGGAGAAAATAAGTGTCCTTTTACACCCCAGATAGCATNTTGGATACGTTGGCCCAACGTTAGGCCAACGTATGAAATAAATATGCACACGTTGGCCCAACGTTGGGCCAACGTGAGCATATTGCAGTTATGTTGTGCATATTATGATGTGGTTGGGCCAACGTTGGGCCAACGTATGACTACCAACGCCAACTATATGCCAACAAACCAACGATTCCCCTACGTTGGCCCAACGTATGCTTGCTATCTGGGACACTGTCAAATAATTATCATCCTGAATGGAACACATTGTACAAAGAAAATGGATGACAAATACATCCATTTTCTTTTAACATTTTAGACACATACCATCAGGAGGGTCTGTTGGGGTAGGTCCTGCATTGCATTGCTTTGGTATACAACGCCCACTTGCCACACAAAGGACCTGAAACGCGAAGTTTAGATCACGGTCAAGTTAACCATGAATTACTAGTACGCTGCTAAAAAGGTAATTGTATTATATGATGCTATTTTGAATGAAGTCATTCATTTAATTACTACATGTATTAAGAAAATGTAAAAATAGAATGAACATGCAATTCTTGATCTTTAAAAAGTAATAATTATGAATATCTCCTATAAATTTATAGTCGATATGTGATAATAAATTAATCTCATAATTATTGTACGTTAAGTTTGACTCCATTACGTGTTTAAACTCATAACTTGTGATCCAAGATGACTTAATTATTTGACCTTGAAAAGTAGGTCGTGGTGAAAAAAATCATGAACTCATCAAAGATTTAGCCCTAATTAACAAGGCACGAATTGGTGATATATTCATTCAACTCCTTGAAAAGGTTTTTGTATTTGGAAAAAACATTTATGTCCAAGCAAGCTATAACCATGCAAGTTATTATAGCCAGCATTTGTATTTTTGTAATAGGAAAAGACAGCCTTTGGTGGGATGCAAGACACAGCTACTAGTATTGTATATTTATTTTTTTGTACACTGTGATAAAAACAGGCAAAGCACTCACCTCGTCATCACAGCACTCAGATGTCTGTGAGGTTTCCCTTATTTCACACACTTCCTCCCTCATGCCATAATCACCACGTCCATAGCCGTACCTATTGTCATCTCTCATGCCATGTGGTCCAAAATGGCTGCCATTGCCTTGTGGTCCAAAATGGCTGCCATTACCATGGGGTCCAAAATGACTGCCATTGGCCATTTGTGAACCTCGGCCGCCCAAAAAGTCCTGTACCAATCTGGAACATTAATAACACATCAATAGAGGTAAAATTATAGTACCCATTGTTATTGCATTTCATTGACCTTAATTAACATTTGAAGTCATTTTTTACCTCAAGTTTCCAAGGAGGTTACATTTTCACCTCCCTATTTGTTGATCTGCCTGTATGTCTGTCTGAATTTTTTTATTTATATACTTATTTATTTTATTATTATTTTTGTTTGTTTGTTTGTCATCAAGCACTCAAAAAGTAATATATTGATTTTAATGAAATTAACAGGATAGGTTAGAAATGGGTTAACTTAATGGGTGCACTTCTTTATAAAAAAGGTTTGCTATTCCTAGGTTTGCTTTTCTGAAGGTTCAATATTACGAAGGTTCACTATTTCTGAAATACAGTCCACACTCAAAGAAGAAAAAACTGAAGGGTGCATGCACTTCCTTAATAGAGGACTGGTAAGTGAGAATCCTTCATAGTTACAGCAAACCCTTAGTTCTCAGAACAGCAGATCAACTTTCATAATAGCAAACCTTACATTTCAGAGGTTCTTAAAAACTTAAGCATAAATTTACATATGATTAGACCACAATAAATCTGGCTCTTATATAAACGCTGTTCTCACCAATGTCAATGGTTTTAAAGCAAAATCCTTATATCAGCTTCTATTAATTAATTGTCTAGACACTATTTTATTGACAGTGGTGAGAACAGTGGCAACACAAAGGGAAATAAATAATTTAGATAAGAAACCTTTGATGAATGCAGACTACATGGTTAAGATCCATCAACATTTAACAATTTTTATAATTATAAATAGCTTTTAAAAATAACTCACTCCTCAAAATCCATGTTGTCATCAGCATCATCTCTCTTGCTGCAAGGAGCTGACGAACCATAACGATCTTTGTCCAACTCAGCAAACATTGTGGCTTCTACCTTCTCGGGTTGTTTAGGTTCAAATCTAATTGGCAGAGATCTCATGACTTCATCCAAAAACGAACCACCTCTGATGTTACTGGGTGTCTTATATGTACTGGAGGAGCCCCTGCCACCTTGATTTTTTCTTATAAATAAACAGTAGAAAATTGTAGTTTTAATCTTCTATCTTTACATGGTATACATATTAAGGAATGTGATCTAAAATTTTGCATTGTAATTGAATTTTTAGAAGTTTAGGAAAATTAATGCAAACTAAAGGCTCATATTTAATATTTCTGAGTGCCATGCAGAGATGTAAAAATTAACGAAATGATAAACCTTCTTATGATTCATAAAAGAAATGACATTTTGTCAAGTTTAAAACAGAACATCATATTTACATCCTAGCATCAGAATCAATTTACCCTTAACTGCATTTGAAAACATGGTAGTATTATTACTTAAAGACCACAAGCTTTAATAAGTCTTTCCTCAATTTTTCTATGGCCTACCTTCCCAGACTTTCCACCATGAAGGACATTATGTTCCACAGCCCCTTGTTCTTGTTTCCTTGAGCCATTTTGTTGTTTCCACAATTGGCAGAAAGTTCTCCTCTCCTCACTTTATCAGCGCATTCTTTAGAGATGCAAATTTGCCTAACAAAGCAGTAAATCTGCAAAAAAATACAGACAGTTGTACCGGGGTAAATAGTGCCTCCCCCTTTACCAACCTGTATCCTTCAAATTACTTTAGTATATTAAATCAGTCCTATTTGTCCTAGATGCATCAAGTGAAGAAGTGTGACTTTTTAAAAATATTAATATTTTAATTTTTACTATATTAGGCAAAGGAATTGTCTAATAAGTTGGTGTCACAAAAAATATTCAAAAAGTGGTCCCAACTCAACAACCAAAATTGATGTCAGAAACTTTAATTGAAAAACCAATAAAATGGATACAGTACATGGGCCTGTTTATTATAAAAGATGAAAAACTCATTTTAACATAGTTCAACTTTCTATAATTTCAGTGGCGGATTTAGAGGTCAGGGGGGGCCTTACCCCCCCCCCCCCTTTCGATTTCTGTTCCCCTCTTGAATTAGAATTTTGACTAGTTGAAATAGTTCTAAACTGTATCACATGGCACCGTTCGCCCTATAAAATACCGACCCCCCCCCCCCCCGAACCCCCACGCCAAGGGGGGGGGGGAGTCGGCTTCGCATCCGCGGACCCCCCCTTTCAAATAATCCTGCATCAGCCCCTGAATTTAGTGTCTTTCATCTTGGATATAATAACGTTATGATGTCCAAGTTTTCATCGAAAGCAAGATTTTTTCTAATTATAACATTACTAGCAGTTTATGAAAGACGACCCAGTCCATATTTGATCCAAACTGACCGCCAGCAAGTAATTTCCAATATCTTGAATCTTGGACCTAAATAGGTCCAAGCTTGAATGAAAACACATCTTCATTGAAGTATATCCATACGAGTGGAGGGCACTCACCTCATCATCGGCACACTGCAATGTATTTTCTGCATTGAAGCGCACAATATTTGGTTTCCCTCCCATCAAGGCAACCAATTTTATAACAGTTTGCATCCCGGGGGACCGTGCCGCAGAAGACTGTGAGAGCTTCTTCACCACTGCCTCTATTGGCTTTCTTTCATCAAGTCGACTCAGATCGCTGTGCATAATGCGAGTCCCATTAGGTCCGCTTTGCCCGCCATATTGACCGCTGTATCCAGAATATTGGCCGCTGTATCCAGAATATTGACCGCTGTCTCCGGCCTGTTGACCGATCACACCAGTAATAGTTGTGGTCGCAAGGACTAACAGCAGCATAACACACGCTGCTAAAGAAAAATATATCAAGTTGATAATTTTACATATATAAATTTACATATATTTGAATTTAAAATGTTTTAAAAGAACTCATAATTTTTGTCGGCGTCGAATCCGCGGGCTGTTGTGATCTGTCATGTCTAACTAAAAACCGGACCTCCTCCCCCTCCTCCTTCAAATAATCCTGCCTCCTTCCCTCCCCCCCCCCCCCCCCCCCCCCCATGAGAGGAGACACAGAGGGTACTCATAACGAACATTTACGTAAAAATTCATAATACTTTAATTTTAAAATATAAAAGAGCGCCTCAAAAGTTTTTCGCATATCTTGTAGACTTACATTTATAAGTATGTGTAAAAGTGTATTTTACCAGTATTATATTAATGGAAGGACTGGACAAAACTTCAATATGTTTTATTATATAAACAGGTTATGAAATTTACTGAGATGATATCTTGCAAAACCTTCAATTTTAACACCGAGAATTGGCGGTTAAAGTTGCCCATCCAGACGTTGCGAGATACTCTAACAAGAGGCTGAGTCAGTGCGAGACTGGAAAAAAAGTGCCACAATCTGCGTGAAGAGGGATTGATTTTTTTTTTACAATGAGGATGAAACTTGATGCGCCAGGAACGTCGTCATTGAAAGCGTTACAAAAGTGATACGCAAAGTATGGTAAATAAGTACTGTTTTGCAACATACAGGCTGGAATTCTACGAAAGCAACCAGAAAATATCTTTTGGTGAATTCTGACAGTTTTTATTCGTTGCTGCACCGCATTCGTTCCCCTGCCTAAATTTCCGACCTCACTCGGTTCAGTACTTCTCCTCCAAACCCCGCTAAATTGGTCTAAATTGGCCTTAAGCTGATCCGCGAGACTTTGCACCATCTCAGATGATGTCCATTCAGCTGATAACTTCAGATTTAAAAAAATATTTTTCAGCCATTCAAAAATAATGGCCATTTATCGTCAGATGGTCAATAAAACCTGGTCATGTGCAGCAAAACAGCTGACAAATGAAGCGTATCTACGCTCACTGACATGTTTATTATGTACTTACCTGAGATAACGGATGTTTTCGTCATTTTTGCATAAGCTTCGTTCTTCGATAAGAACTCTCCTCAGATAACTCTCCCTACGGGTTGAGCGTCTACCCGCCTCTCTCTCTCTCCCCTTGTGACGGCTGCAGTTCCCGAGATATCGACCAAATGGACGTGTTATGACAGCGTGTAAAACACACCTGGCTGTTCCATAGCCTGTGGACACACCCTCCGTTACAAATGAGCACAAGATGTGGACAAGGGCGAATTAACTCTAAATGTATTTTTTCATATTTATGTTGCGTAGTGTGAATTCATGGATATTTGTCTAATGGTTCTTATTCTGAGCAGTTGTTTTATAAACAATTTTCCATTAAAAAATGAAAATGTCTTACATGTCGGTGCGGGTGTATCATCAATTACAATACGGAAATGTATGACGGATCGATAGCTTTGGCAAGCAGAGGACCAACTCTCTACTGCATAACATGAATTAAGTAAAAGGCAGACTATTGATGTAAAACCATTGATTGTTTTTGAAACAAAAACTGTTATTTTCAATCGATAACGTTGCATTGCCAACGCGAATAATATATAATTATAATCAATCAGTGAATGAATACTTTTAAGTTGACCAAGTCAACAGAGAAAATGCTTGGTTCGGTCACTTAAAAAGTTAAAAGTGAAATGCCATTGCCATTTGCTTTAATGATTTGGCTTTTTCAAATAACTTGGTATTGCTGAATAAGAAGTGTTTACTTGCTAAAATATTTTATTAAGGACATAATTATACCCTGAAATATATGTTTTGAGTTCAGATTAATATACAAAAACCCAAGATTTTTCCTTATTTTGGCAATGTTATTGGTTTATTACTTATTAGACCTACTGGCACGTATGAAGGTCCTATGCTGATTAAAATATCGATAAGAGGTATATATACTGAGTACACACACTAGACAATAGAAGTGTCACCCCTACTGAACCAATACTTTGGGGGAGAAAAATGACTGTGGAATGATATGCTCCTGGTATCATTTTATTAACATCAAATTTCACAAAAAGACCAACAATACAATTCCGTGGTACAGCGATTTTATACTCATTAGTCACATTATAAGTAGTCCAGGCATTATAACTTTGATTACTCTGATTCAGGGAGTGACACTTCTATTGTCCAGTGTGTGTAGGTGGCATTGTTTTCATGTGTCGTTTTTACCTGTTCAAGTGCCTGGAAGTGTATTGGATGTAGATGGCAATCGGTCCGGGAATAACACCCTAACCACCGCAGATAAAATCATCGAAACTGGTGCAAATATTAACAAATGTGTGAAAAACAATCGGTTCCGACAGATTTGTAAGACCATCAAACCGACCTAAGGCGGTCTTGTTTACAAAGACCCAGTGAAAATTGGTAAAATTGAATGGTATTAGAAATAAAATCTAAACGACGTATGAAAATCGGCCGCCCCGCTCCAAACTGTAGTACTCATGCACAGCCCCTAGACGCTATTTTTGATTTTTTTCTGAGGCTACGAGCCATGCCCACGATTTTTGCCTTACGGTATAAAAAGGGAGAGAAAAAAATAGAATATGACATTTTCATTAAAATAAACGCTGATATGACATCATGAGCAAAATGATCATACTTTGCCCGAAAACAAATTAAGTCCATGAATATTATATGATTATGTTTTTACAATCAGTATTGCATATAGGCGTTTTGGGTTTGATTTTAGCTAACAGGATATGTCCTTGTCCTTATAAAAATACTCTTCTGCACTCCGATTTTTTACCGTTTAAAATGTGTAACTTAGTAAGACGATACCTTGATCATTTCACAATAAGGAAATTTATTGAGTTTCAATACCCAAACTAGCATCCAGATGACAGAAGATAAAACGTGTGCAAATCTATTATCGTAAATAGGTTATACTAACAAGGAGACTGTTGTTTTTTTCAACTACTAACGTTGCATAAATAATGTATGTCAGGAGTGAGTGTTAACAGGTCTATCCATCTTGCGACGCGACCTTTAGTCCATAAAACAGGGATGCGATAAATGATACAGTTACTTATACGAAGGTCGATATGGAGTGACGATGGAAAGTGTATAGGCTTGATGCCCACAAAAGAACGATATCGGTAATGACTGATAATAAATTAACGGGTAAACTACAGAGAGATAGAATTTGGTATATGCGTGGGAGCGGGGAGATAATGTATAAAGGGTCCTATCTTATTATTAGGACAAGGACATGCGATGCAGCTGGGAGAAATGGGTCCATTTACCAATTTGCTATGTTAATGATAAAAACTTAATGACCAATCTTAGGCCAAATAGGCCTACTTTTTTTCGGAGGATTCCAATGCGCCAAGGTGTGACACAAAAGTAGGGGCCTACTTTCCCATTCAAGTCTCATCTAACACAGGTCACGTTGGTTCGCTGACACGATATAAACATTTTATTAAGATAAATAAATAAATAAAACAAATATGATAAATTATCGTACTCTTAAGTACAGTTATCAGTCGAGTTATCGTATTTGTATGTTTTCTACGCCAGTAAGGTCTCAAATCAGACACAAAACACATTTTCAAATGATTTTCATGTGCTTTTGGTAATGGTGACATGGGCAAATATGGTATGCAGACTCAGATAGAAGATAAGGAGAGGCAAGTTTGCACCTCCTCCCAAATTCCCAGGATGCACAGAATAGTTTAACCAACCAAAAGTATATGAAAGTATAAGAAAATTTTCTTGAAAAACAGAACTTTTTCTTCTATCAAAACTTAATGTCGTCCAAAATTGTCTGCAGGATCTTTGATGTTCATGTTCAGCATTTGCAGTTTGAAAGCTGGACATATCTCATCATTTGCATCTATCTTTTCGATACAGCTAACTTTCGTACATGATAATTGTTATTGTAACTCAAAGAGAAAGAGATAACATCTCTTCGTAAAATATTCAAAATTTTATTCTAAATAAATTGTAAACAACATATTGAAATAAAATAATCTATATCCTCTCACCAAAACAGTGGTTATCGCAATTATTGAGAAATCTGTGCTTGACCACGACGTCGCGCCGTAATTATCTCTTTTAAGAGATTATCACAAAAACCACACTTGTAAAAAATGACTGTTTTAAGATGACGGAACGGATTTATTGGCCATTAAAAAGTACGGGATTAACTCCAGGAATATCCGTTTATAAAACTATAGCTATAAGCTCTTTTCCAGTCAAAATAAAGAGCTGTCATCCCTTAAATAATTATGCACCGGTTGTGTAATTTCAAAATGCACTTTTCGACAAATGCCTATAATATATATAGTGAATTGACAGTACATTCATCAGCAATATCGAAGATTAGATATCATTAAATGAAAAACAACAGAAAAAAAAACACATGGAGGAAAAAGAAAACAACTTGGAGGGGGCACCCGGATTTGAACCGGGGACCTCTCGATCTGCAGTCGAATGCTCTGCCACTGAGCTATACCCCCGTGCTTGGATATACGTGAAATTTTTAAATTTATATATGTGTTAATTTATCAAATAGTCATTCTGGATATTTCTTTACAAATAGATGTTATTATGAAAGTTTATTTGGAAATAATACAACAAATGTATATGAGATTCCCCTAAAGTACTTGATATAGTCATTGTTTTCATCTAGGTTGCAACAATCAAAATTTCTTGGCAAGACAAGCCCAAACCTGTATTTTGAACTCCCATCTATAATCATTAGCATTTAAATATATAATTTTTACCCCCATTACTTAAAATGCTTATATCATTTGTTTGGATTTGTTTATCAGTTAAATCTAATAAAACTCGATTAGCCTTTCTTGACTGCGACGCCCTCTTTAACTAGGACTTTCTGTATACAATATTAATGGCTGTGACTTTCACGTGTCCTGCTAGCAAACTGGTTTTCGAGAGGTCTTGTTTCCTCCACAAAAATTCAAGACATGTAACAAATGTACTTGAACACCATTTTAACTATGGGGTAAGCGTCTAGTAAGTTATGAACTTTCAGAAATGACAACTTGAACAGCACAGCACAGATTCCCCAGGGGGTTTGCCGCTTACCGAAGAAGACTTCAGTTCAACTTCATTTGCAATGTCAGTGATACAACAATAGATATCCTGGTTAATTGAGTACTTATATGCTCTTCCAAAGATAAGATGTAATTCTTTTTACATTTCCAATCAAAGCACATCTTGTATGTTGTCTGTCTCTTCCAGGTGGACATCCTAATTCCTGACTGTGACAGCATTCCTCTGCACCTTACCAGCCTCATGGTCAACTCTAGGTTCTTCCTCACAGAGAGGCTCCCTCTTGCCATCCTCATTGACAAAGAATTTGTTGAAGCATTTGTCAAAAAAGGTAATTGCCTCTGCCATCTGCATTGATTTGCCCATTCATGATTTCAGATATAAGTGGACAAGTTATCTCAAATATTGATTAAAATATTTTGATTGAAAATTACATTTCAGGTTGCAAATTTATAAATTAACTAAATGGCTTTGCTCTTGGGGGTGTTTGCTACTTTGAGGAACAACTCAGAGTTCCCCCTGCTAAATGTTTCGAATGTAATGAGTGGTAATGGCATTCCCCCCTTTATTTATTAAGTTCAAATCACTTTGTGCATCCCTCACAGAAGAGAACTGTATCCTTTGTTCTCATACATACAGTGCAAATACTTGTGGCATACTAAATAAATTTAAGTCTTTTGCAGAAAAATGTTTTCTGCAGATTGCCTCATTTCAAATTGCTTAACATTACATGAGTGAGACTGTGTTAATGTCAGTACAAGACAGTTTTAGATGCAACAGGAAAAAGTTTTGAAATATTATACGTTTTATGTCATACCCCATTTCTTCCCAGGAAAGCTCTACATGCTCTCATATGGCACTGCCATTGACAGGGACAATTGCGTTGCTATTGTTCCACCAGGTAAGTGAACAAATCTGTAGACAAATAGTTTGCGTTGACCTTTAGATTTTGATGTATAACAAAAAAATATATTATAGTGATTCATATATTATGGTGATTCTCTAACATTTAACTTCATAATTTTTACTACTATATGATATTCTATGTGAAACGTAAATGTTTTGACTCAGTGGCATTTTTGTAATCCTTGTGATACAGAAATCGAACCAATATAATGTTAAAATTCAAGCAGTGTAGGTCATATGGAATAATTGAAACAAATTGCATTTGATTATGTAGTCTATTTGTGACAGTTTAGTGTTTGTTTTATGTTTATATTTCAACTTTTTTCTGTGAATATTTTTATTTACTAGTACTTAGACCAACCTTTCTTTCAGGGATTCTCATTTTAAACCTGACCAAAGACACATACCAAGAATTAGGCTTGGTAGGAAAACCCACAGTCTTTCAAAAGAAGTTACCAACAAAATATGGTGAGCCTTATGTTAATTTTTTGCACAACTTTCTTCATTTAGAAAAAACATTTTGGTGTATAAAATACATATCTACATATATATATAACTCATTTTTTTAAATCTAAATTTGAAATTATTTCGATGACATTTATAACCAAAGTTAACAGATCTGCAGCTCAAATATGGCTGATCCATTTGAAAACTTACCAAGTAGCTCTTCAGGAAATTTTTCAGTATCTACTAGGGGATTATGTAGCAAGCTTTAAGGTCGGTTGGCCAGATTTGATCCGTAGATCTGTTAGTCTGTGAATCAAATTCTTCTGAATGTGTCCTTATTCTTATTTTCCTTCAATCTAACTTGGACACGAAATGCTGGCCAACCAGAACAGAGCCTTTTGGCCAGTCTAAATCTTTCCAGATAATTTCATTTAATCTTCAGAAATATAAATTTGTATGATTTTTTATGCTTCAACTACAACAACACTTTGGCTGTTTGATTTAAAAATAGAACAAAATAAAAATAATAATTATAAAAGAATTGAAAAAATCATGAAATAATTAGAAATGTTAAAAGTTATTAAAAATATTGGAAATGTTTGATTTAATATTCATGTTGTATTTGTCTATTTTATCAGTTGTAGAAATAAACCTTACTGAAGAATATTTCACTCCTGGAAAAAATTATTATGAGCGAGTTAAGTGGTGCCTTACTGACCGACTGGGTCTTGTTTTTGACTTTCTTGTTGCATGGCTGCCACATGGTAAGGATACATATGCATACCACAGCTGAAAAATGATTACTTATATATATTACACGTGCTTACTTTCCTGAACTTATTCTACATTTAGTAGTTGAAAATTGTTGTCTTAGCCTAAAACCAATCCTTAATTTGACTTTTTTTTTAAAGATTAGTGCCTATTGATTTTAATTAATTCAAAATTTACAAATACACCTAGGGATAGAATTTATGTACATGTAGGATTTTGAACCTTTTTTGTTGCTAACAAATTAATAATCAGTATAATATAATAGTATAATAATGATATTTATGATGTGCACAACCCTACACGTCTATACGTGAATCCTTAAATTTTGAATATTAGTTCCACTTTTTGATGCAATGAATAGAATATATGCCAAGTTACCTCAGATGTATATGATAACTGACTATAAAAAAGTTTGAAGCCTTATTGAGAAATTATAAATTTCAATCAATGTTGTTTGTTTCTAATTTCATGCAGAAGACCAAATCTCACAGAGCTCAGTCCCTGCGTATCTTTGTAACAAGGGGTTTCGCAGTAGAGCCTTCAAAGTGAGTGAGGAAATCACTTTCAAAAAGGATGTTAAGTATCCTGTCATAGACAGTAATGACTTTGATGGACACGGTGAAGGCGGGAACAGTGACAATGACTGCCCTATCACAAGCAGCACAAAGTATGATGAGCAGAAGAAGGGCGGGACCAAGTCTGATGGACAGCTTAAAAGTGGAGATTTTCTCTGTTCATATACAGAATTCTGGGAGTGGCTTGGAGCATTCACATGTGGACTTGACTGGTATGTGTCAGGATAAACAAAAATACAGCATAATTTTTTCTGTCAAACATTCAGAGTTAAACGTCTTAAAGTAAATTTCATGTACTTTTATGTAATTTACAAAAGGTGTATTTGTACCCCAGATCAAAGCAAACTATGTGTAAAGGTATCAAAACTTTTTCTAGCATGAAAGTGCATTTACATCAAAAATTTTAAATTAGTTACAATCCAGTGGTAGTGGCAATGAGTATTTTTAGTTCATCAAAAGAATATCTAAAAATTTTAATATCAAAAACATACGTCCTTTCAGTGATGGTTCTCCAGATGACTTCCTCTCCACATTCTCATGTCCAGACCCTGTGTCCATCTCTCCAAGCTGCTGTCAGTGTAAATACAGGGGTTTTATTTTGCCTGGCACTATAAATTGCCTGATAGAAAGTTTAAGGTATGGGAACAGGATTCACATATGACAGCAGCATAGAAACATACCAGCCTAGTATGATATTCCAAATTTTCTTGTTTTTGTTTTAAATTTTTAAAATCTCAGTTACCTAGTTTGATGTACATTTCTAAAATATTTAACTCTGTCCTTCTTTTTTTTTTAATGTCACTTTTTTTCCAGAGACTACATGAAATCTTCCACATCCCCCTGGGCTTGTGTGACAGTCCACGGGTTTACAGACTCCCCCGTCTCCTGGAGGAGAAATGAACACGGCCACCACAAGGGAGGAGAAAACTTGTATACATTTGTTTTATTTCCAAGTGAAGACTACTGGCTATATATGGCAGTTGGAACACATGATATATGTCCGCCGTGATTGGGGGGAAATATTTGCTGGAGACTGAAAAATGTTTTAAATAATTTACTTTGGTTGAAGAATATGTCTATTTTTTCATGATGTTAAAAATCATGTTGAAGTTAAAGTTGTTATTTTGCTTAATGGGAAATATGTCCAGCTAGGGTATTTTTTAAAGAAGTTCACATACACAAATTTCCAAAGAGTAAAATGCAAACCTATGAAATCAATATAATATTTTTTTTTTTGAAAGATTAAAAGTTGAGGATTTTACACAGAAATATTAGGCAAATATTGACTTTGTACTAAAGACACTTTAATATTTTAAATATCTGGTTCCAGTGGCTTTCTGGTGAAACAATTATAACACTTGGCACTGGAAATATATACATCTCTTTATTTAATATAAATATCTTCAAATAAAAAGTACCGTTTCAATTAGTTCATGTTTTAGAGCTGACAGTCTAAAAATGTCAAAGTAAATGTAAAACACTAGACTGAGCTTTATTTTATTCAACTTATGTTCAAAACAATAATACTACAAACATGATCAAATTATCTGGCAGTATAGTAAAACAGTTTACTAATTATGGCATGTATAATTTGGTATTTATCAACCTTTGTACATTTTGCCTTGGAAGCATCACAAAGATACCAGTCTGTGAAATTTGCTGTTTGCATGAACATTTTAAAATTGACATCTCAAAAAAATTCTAAAAAGAAAATTTTCTGTGATATAAATGTCTGTTTTCATCTATTTATATTAAATGAGGGAAACAATTTTTTAAAATCACTGAAGCAAGCAGCAAAGGCTGGTAGATACTTGCATAAAACACAATGAAAACCCACAGGTCTTAAATCTACCTCTGTTCTTTAATTTACTCCCAAACTAAACTTGCAAATAAAAGTAACATTGTTCCAAGTGCCTGTAATCATTCACTCTGCTTAAGTGAGTCTAAATTATCTTTAAATCTTTAAAAGAGTATTTCCAAAGTTGGTACTTGACTTAGTGGTTGTGTACCCCAAGGTGCAGTTTTAAAGTGTCCCAGTTTCTTCATATCTCCATTTTTGCACATGTAAAAATATGGAAATGAAGAGGTTTCCCCATACTGTTTCTGAAACTCCTGAACTACTGCAATACTGGTAATGATGCCAATCAATTACCTTATCGTATTTATTGAGATTACAAATCAACAAATCACTTTCTCTGTCTATAAAACATGAAATCTCTGTTCACAACATGCCCTGCTGACTTTCATGACCTTGAAACTTTTAGATATGTACTACATCAACTTTGAATACATTCCCACCTATGTACAGCACCCCACTCTGCTGCATCATGCCATTCTTACTGACCATGCTGTTACTGTCTTTTGCTTTTCTTGTTACCAAGTATGATGGTGTTCTTTGCTAAAGAGGGCACTCTAGCTAGATGGGCAGGAAGAGGCAGTGTGGCATACCCAGCTTTTCCTAGGTTCTTTATGCCCTCTAATACATTGCGACCCTCAAATTTAACCCGGCAGCGGAACGGCTCCTTGCTCTTAGCAAAATGGGGTGCACAGTTACCCCCACGGAAATTGGTCTCCATCTTGGGGGGGAAAAAGAACATTTCAGTTTACTTTCTATTTAAGATTTAGACTGTAACAGTGAGGAGAAGAAGAAAGCAATTAAGTCACTTATTTACCAAGAACCAAGCATAATCAGATGTTCCGTGACCTCTCTGACTGAAACCTTTACACTTAAACCAACAGCATATGGTTACCTTATATTCCAACCTCTCCAAAGATGGCTGTTCATTGGAACCAAATGTATCCTGAAGTATTTTCTTACTCCTTTGCTTGTCCTTTATGTTCTCATAGGTTATTCTGTCATCCAAAACTTCTTCCTCTTCTTCAACTAAGGAAGATAAATAAATAAATAGATCCATCTATAAAAAATTGACACAAAGCAGAACATACTGAAGTTCAGCTATTTGACTTTTATATTCACTTACAGAACTAGTTAAGATCATCAATGATATTGGTAAAACACAAAAATCCATTTTCTCTGGCCAATCTAAATTAATCTTGTCAATTATCAAAAACATTCATCAGTTATGTGATACAATTGGATATTATATATCCTACTTAATTTTTCTTCAATCAGTGACCCGAGTCAGGTTGCTCAAAGAAAAAGAGCCCCATTCCCACCTTAGTTGAGGTTATTTCAACAAAAAATGTTGCATTCTGCTGAATAATTGACCTAAGGTAGTGTTCATATTTAGTAAAAAGATAATGCTGCTACCTACCCCCAAATCTACACACACAAACACATTGGACCCCCACACACACACACGCACACAATTTTTCCAAGCATTTTTGATTGAGACCATTGTAAAAAAAAAAAAGGATAATAACACACTATTAAAAAAACTTGCTTTTTCTTTTTCTTTTCTCTCCTCTGGCCAAAGCATTGATGTCCACCTGCCCAAGTCTGTAATGGCTAAAATAACCCTGAAATAAATAAAAATAAATAAGGATAACCAATCACTGCCAATAACTGCAAAACAAAAACTTGAGACAATGACAAAAATTGAGTAAAAAAAAAAAAAAAAATAGTTTACTAAGCTTAAAATGATACAATTTCACATTTAAAGTTCACTTTACTAATACACTCAACCAAAAAAAGATTGTTTTCAATAATAAAAATACTATGTAATGTAGCGGGAAATTTTTCAGTGTATATAAAAAAGTAACAATTGTCCATCAATATTTGGATAAAATATATACCGTAGTTCATATTGTTATTTTATAATTATTCAAAATAACGATGTTAAATAACGATGTTTCTGAACTTTTTTGGCCAAGAGTTGATACAATCATAACACAATTTTTCTACCTGGCTGTACTTATTGAGAGACAACTGGGCCAAGGATGACAAGCAGTGCCCACTCAGCATCTGTTCCTCAAGTTCGCCTGCACTGAGAGTGTTACTGAAGGCCTGAATATAAAAATTAATTTATAACATTATTTTGAAGATACAAAATGAGGTATTAGGTTCGAGATATAAACAGTAAAAACAAAACTGATGGTGATACTATTGCTTCTGGAGCTCATGATGAGCAAGTCACGCCATCATCATGATAAAGGGTTGATTTCATGCCTCCCAGGTTTTAAACATGTTCATTATTATTTTTTTCAAATTCATCATGCCCACACCTGAATTATATACTCCCTGTTGGCAGCCTTGATAGCAGTTAAGATGAGGACAGGTGAGTGTGGGTAGTATACTGCATACACTGTGTTGTTTGCTTGGTACTTGGTGTCTTCATGGATGTAGATTCTCACCCAGAGAGCCTTCTGGTGTTCCATAACTTGAATATCCTAAAATGAAAAGATACCAGATTACAACAAGGAGCCATCAGTTCTTGCTAGGGCACAAAACATTGGAGACTTGATAAGAAGGGCATGATTTCCCATTACTGAGCTCTTGAATAGTCCATAATAGATTTCCATTTTTAACTGGTGGCCCCAGCTCACAAGTTTTAAATAATAATATATTGATAAAGTTGTGCACTATAGAAAGGAGGGGGTCATTACCAAAACAGCATTGAAGAAAAAATAAATCAATAAATACCAGCAAAAATGTAATGGGAGACTGAAAATCATAAAAAATGTATCTATTTTAATCACATGTCAAGTATCAGATTTCAAGACAGCACAACAGTTTATGCAGCTTTTACTAATGAATTTTTCTGTAAAACATTCCTAGAGCTTGGAAAAATCAAACAAATTACTATGACGAAAGGAAAAACATAAGAAACATTGCAAAATTCAGATTATGATTAAAAATTACTCATAATTTTTAATGACCCAGATTGCAAAATTTAGATGATATAACTACCAGTACATTTGGATACTTTCACACAAACCAAAATGGTTACAGAAAACTAAATAACAGACTGATGTTTCAGCAACTTTTCCTACCAGCATGAAGTACGATTCCAGTGCTGTTTTGAGACGTCTCCTAAAAGCTTGTGGTGTTTCAGCATAGCCTTCACTGCCTGCAGATGAGAATGATATATTTAACAAATAACATCTGTTTTATTTTATTCATCTTTTCATAACATAGTTATGCTAGTGGGCAAGTGGAAAAAATGCATTGACAGCAAGGCTTTTCCGAGAGAACCGTCCAGCTATCATTTGGATGGCCAAAGATGGCTGTACGGCTAACAATTTTTTTGGGGAAATGATGGGTTGGGGACTTGACTTGCTTGGGTTGGGTCCCCTGTAAATCAGTGACGAAATTACAAATTCACACTTTGGACCCCCTCTATCCCAAATCCTGGGGAAACCTCTAGGGGACAAGGACAGTGTTTTTTATACTGGTCAGCACCATGCAAGATCCAACATGCAGCTAGGAAGTTACCCAAAGAGTGCACTTCTGCATCCAGTACCTCCCACACCTCAACCAGTATTACTATTTACAGACTTAACTTCAAGAGCTTTCCACGCACTTTGGACTGCATTCAAAGAGAGCAATTCTACATGTTATCTGCCCCCCCCCCATACACACACACATTTCTATAAATATAATACATTCTACATGTTATCTGCCCCCCCCCCCCCATACACACACACACACATTTCTATAAATATAATACAATTCTAACATTTTTCCCCAATAACTTACCATGCAGCTCAGTTGACAGCCACACTGTCCAGGTTTTACTAGAGGAGTGCTGCAGCATGTCTGGAAAATGCAGAACATAAAATATTTCAGCTGCATTTACCTATGTGGTTTTCATATTAATTCTATGTTTCAGACAGTTGAATAGTTCATGTTCTCATATAATAAAATAACAGAATGAAAGTTCTTAAAGTCATACTAACTCTTCGTTTTGGCCGAAAATTGGATTTTCCTGGAGTAAACGGCAATTTTCCCCTACTTACCAATGGTCAACAACCCCATTCCTGCATTAAAAAGTAGTCCAGGTTTTTTTTCCTAAAAGTTTGATTTTTTGTTAAAATCTCTTAAGAGATTTTAACTGACGGAGCCCTCTCTGACATTGGATAGTCATGCGATATCGAGCGATATTTTCTGGTGACCTACTTAAAACCATGGGAAAAGCAGACAACAACAACACTATATAACAATACTCTGAAGTATCAAATAAACGTACCGGTACGTTAATTAATTTTTCAAATTTCTTCCTGCCAGTATGCACCATTTCCACCCAGTACGCTTATTAATTTTTCAAAAATCTGCCACCCAGTATGTTTATTAAATACCTTTTGTACCGGTGGGAAATTGTACAAGTCAAGTTTTTTTATTTTCTTAAATTGAAGTATAGATGAGAAGAAACACGGTGCAGCTACTGTTCGACATACAGCACTGGAAAGTAGGTCAAACGGAACACAACAATACATGCGGTCTGATTTCAGTTCCTATAAATAGACGTGCTTTCCCTTCAACAGTGACAACTACTCATGCATATCGATCGAGTGATGTAATGTCGCAAGGTGATAGGATCATATTTATAGCTAAGGAGGTCATTTCAAGTGCAGCAAAGAAGTTGTCTGTTTTCAAACGTCAATTTATTTCATGCCGATTTATTTATGATTTAAACGATGTTAAATCACACTTCTATGTAAGATAAACCCTAAGGAGTTTACAGGTATGCAAAACGAACCTTATATCTGAGAATAAATTTACTATGAATAACGTCTCCGTATGGCTATCGGAGGCGGCTTAGGTGCAATACATCTGGGTCTTCGGATTATGAAATTTAACTCATGACAAATATTTTTTCGAAAATAAATTAGATATCCCGTTTTTAAGATAAATAAATTATAATACTGAGTGAGCTTTACCTAGTGAAAGTTTTTTTAAAATTTATTTATTATTATTATTTTCTTACAATGATAAATAGCTAGCTTTTTTCTTTCTCTTCTTTATTTCTATTTATTTATTTCATTTTTTTTTTTTGGGTGGGGTGGTTGAGTGGTGTGAAGGTTTTTTCCNGGGGAGTGGTGTGAAGGTTTTTTCCAGGCAGTACTTTTATTCCATCCAGTACTTCTATTAAATTTCGAGATTTTTTCCACCCAGTACTTTTATTCCATCAGTACTTTTATTCGATACTTCAGAGTAATATATGATTCATAAGATATATTCGTCTTATTGCTCAAAATGCATTTATATCTACAATGTGTACAATTCTGGGCTTTTCGTTATCCGACACACTATACAAAAACTCGCAACTTACGTCTGCGGATTGCATCAGGCGTTTGGCGCCATATGTTATTTTGGTCTCGAATAAACGCGAGAATCCGCGTGACACCCCTACGTCATTGGCAATGGATGCCTTGACGATCGGAAAGAAAGGCATCGAAAGCCCTATTGACGAGCACAGATTTTGGTTTTACTACAATAACGGCCGTTTTGGTGGTAATTAAAATACAATAGAATATATTTCCATGCATTGTTTACAATGTATTTCTTGCGGAATTTTGAATCTCAAAGGAAGAGTTATTATTGCTTTAAATATAAAAGGCTTTACTTGACAAGCATTTTTTTTATATTTCCTCAATATTGTAAAAATGTGTTTTTACAGTTAAGAGCCAAATAAAACCCAAAAGCTTTAAGCGTTCTTTTAATTATTACTTAATATCAGTTGGCTTAGTAAGACAGATACTAGCTGACAACCTGGAAGCTTTACCACGTCATGCCAAGGTCATTTACACTGAGGACTGCCTAAACGTGGCAATTTCACATTTAGTCCATTACACACTACTTACACAACAAATCCAACTCCCCTGCATGATGAGGCTGAATTTTGGACAGTCTCTGAAAAGATAAACTTTAAAGTGCAACTAATGACATTTATGGTGAAATTAAAAAAGGCAAATCTGTAGTTTTTTACGCGTGATCATGTGATATAATCATTCCCAGTAACATACGTAGTGATATTGGGTGAAATAATAAATTTCAATTATCACTGTAAATAAAGTTATGAACCTTAAACCATATGTAAAACTCAATAGACAATACTGTGTATTTTAGGAGGCCTTTATAATTGGCTGGGGCTCTCGTAATTTTAACCAAATTTGGGAAACATAACTAGACATGTGGATAAACGACCTGATATACCCATAAACTTAAATTTACACACTTTATGTGAATAGTACCTTATATAACTGCGGTAATAATTGGATCTTTGTAGTTGATAAGTCGAGGCCTTCCAAACATCCCCAAGCAGGATGGTGTTTACTCAATTTTGACCACTTCTTTAGCGTCTTTTCAAGTTCATCACGCCTTAGTCTAACTAAAGTTTTCTTCAGCAGTTCGTACTCCATCACTTAATTAAACGTATCATTTTGTTTTTACCTAAAATAAAAAAATGCAAATCAGAAATCAAGTTGAAATCAGCGCTTGATGGTTTGAGCAATCTTATAGGGAGCGCTAAAATCAAGATACCCCCAAATGAGCTCAAATGTCCAACATAATTAAAATGTTAAAAAAGAAAACAACCATTAACTTGTTAAATAAAAAATATATCAATAAAATTGTCCGTGCTATCAATCTACTCTGTCATGTTAATATGTAGTCTAAATTAATTAAAAATAATAAACCAACTTTTCAAAATCTCTCTTCAAATGCACTGCCATCTATAATGAGAGTGCCTAAAATCAGAGCAGGAATGTCATGACGTCATCACAGGCGGAGGCAGTCACAAAGGACATTGCAAGATTTTGACCGCATCGTTGTTTTTGTTGATTACACGATCAGAAACATTTTCAGGTAAACATTCCCCAAATCATGTAACATTAGACAATGTAGCTTTGGAAGTGAGTATGCTGTAAGCCTATCACTCTGTCGTGTTCTGGAAATCGTTTCACGTAAAAGGTGCAGAAGTGCTGCAAAAGTAGGTCACGAAATGCCATATTGTCGCCCGGCTGCATCACGAAGAACTTGCCCATGCATTGATATTCAAATGAGAAAAACAGGTAGATTGCGTGGTGATGTCACATGATCAGTACACCTGAAGGTCGAGGTACCCCTGCAAGCTAAGAAGCCTTGTGAAACCCCTTATCCAGCGAAACATCCAGGCAAGGGTTTGTTCTAGTGCTCACCTCTAAATTAAGACTAAACCGTCTTGAAAATGTTACATATACATTAACATGGCATTCACGTCCTTGTTTCGTAAGTCTTCCAACACGTTCCTTTAGTTTTATGTAAGAACTGTATTTACTGATCGTGACTGATTGCACGCAACGACTGTAGTTACCAGTTGTGGTTCTTGTTTATCAAGACCTATTACAGAGATGATAGAAATCCCTGAAATCTATTGTACCTGAGTATTGTTACTGTCACTGATATGAAACGCTTGAATACAGCCCATTTGTTTAATGCACAGCAATAAATATAAGCCTTTTTTTCTATCACTTGCTCCCATGTCTTAAAACATAAAAATGAAACAAGTACAAATACCCTAAACTATAAACTTTATAAGTGCCAGCTAGTTTCTTACTCAAAAAAATTTATTTTATTTAACATCTAAAATCATTCACTTGGGCAGCAAAAGTGGTTAAAATTGCACCTCCAACACAATTTTGTCATGAATTCAAGCTACTTATATCCCGTACAGTCTGTAAGGCATATAAAGTAAGAGTATGTACAAATGTAATTAAAAAATAATAATAATATTGTAAGAAAACTGTATTAGAGATATTGGCATATATTATGTAAAAATATAGTGTTTAATATGTTGCCATGACCGTACTGGTGAAAAACTCGAAAACTTTCTTGGAGTGGATATATTGTATTTCGTTGCAGAAAAACTATTAAAATCTTGCAAAAAACTGATATAAACTGATATGGACTAAAACTGAATTAAACTGATTTAAACATTAAACAATATGCTCTGGGTAGACCCGTGTTGCTGAACTGAAATGTAGGGCGGGAGTTCAATTTTATACCTGTGTCAGGCTGTGTGTCATATGACACATGAACACATCTCACTACAATACTCTGATCTACTTCAACTTGTAACTGCTGCACATGTTGCAGTTACATAATATCCTCTTGTCTGCTCTTATTCACCAGAAAAATGTGAATTGTTTTGCCATAACTGTGATGCAATAGTTACTGAAAAGCTTGTTTAAGCTGCCAGCATTTTCATGCTCATAGTGCTTCTCTCCTGTGTGTACAAGAACTTGATCATATATGAGTCATGATAAACAGTCAATCAAATCGACTCAAGTTTCCGTACAGCAACATTTTGCCATAGCATTGAAGGTACTAATAAAAGACCATAAACTGCCTCGGCATTCTTACTGTATCCTTTCCGCCAATCTACTTTGCTGCGCTGGAAAAAAGTCTGAAGGCCTTTTACGTGAAACGATTTAGAGACAGATGAAGACATTGTAGTTAGTAAGTACACTGTTTTGTTCATAATGCTAGAAACACTATTTGATATATAAGCTGAGTAAACAGTTTAAGAAGTCTTGGCTAAGAATTTTGGTTTAAAATTAAGTGCTTCATTAAAGTATTTGTCACCTATAACTTAACCTGTCAATGATAAGCAGATACAAATATAGGAATTAGCTGCTAAGTAAAGAACGTATTTTTCAATTATAAATTTGTACCACTATATTCACTGTTCCATTTATAAATTTATACTGCCAAGTGGCATGAGCATTTTGATAACTTACAAAGATTGAATCCTGATTCTCTACCTAATATTTGTTTTATTTTTCTTACTCAGGATCATCCCTTGGAAGTTGTTGGATACCCCAGGCTGTTCACCTAAAAGATAGTGCTCATTCAAGTTATCCATATTGGTCACAGTGTTATGGCATATGATCAGAAAAGAGCAACATGAGTGCCAAAAATCCAGACACCAGGTCAACATTTGACCAAGAACTGGGACAGGTCACAGAAAAGGTTACTGAAAACATGTCTACAGGCAAGAAGAATATGGAGGTCACATTAAAATCAGACAGTTCATCTGACAGTTCTCAAATTGTTCCTATATCGGAAGTTTCAGTTAAAGAGCCAAGCAAAACTTTTGATATAGCTGACTGTATGGAAGATGTTGTTGTGAAATCTGTATCCAAGGAACCTATCTCCCTTAACTCTGTATCCATGGAGATCAGTACTAGCAGTGACCAAGCAATCATTGGACCGACTCTGCAATCTAATCAATCAAAAATCTCAACTACTGGATCTCAGCTAAGTTCATCTATGGAATCTGACCCAAAAGCATACACTCGGACAGATGGTCTTGATTCACAACCCAAAGAAAAACTTAGCATGGAGAAACTAGTGAAAACAAAAAAAAGCAGGTCTATTATTGATCAGAAATATTTATCTGGTCTTGTAGAGGGGCAGCAAACTACAGAAGGAACCGGAACAAATGTAAATGGTAGACCGAAGAGAAAATCCACAGAGAACAAAAAGGTGAATTACTCTGAGATTGTAGGAGTAGCAGATGATGATGATGGTGAATCAGATACTCAAGATCCGTCCTTTGATGAAAGTGATGCCGAGACTTTCAGGATAGACAGCAGCTCCAGACGTCGCAAGGGGAGACCGCAGAAATTATTGCGAACAGAAGAGCAGGTTACGTCAACCAATCAGAAGGAGAAACCTGTTTCAAGTTCTCCTGAAAAGCAAATCCTAAAAAAGAGAAAATACAGAAGCCAGGCAAGCACAATGACTGTTCCAAATCTGGAAGGTGATACAGCTGATGAGGTCAAAGGTCAAAATGTCACCAGAAAGAATTCTGTTGGTAATAACAAATTTATGATCAAAGTTGGTAAAAAGAGATCTGGTAAGGGAAATGAAGTCAATGGCTCAGACACTGTAAACAGTACATCTGATGTCAATGGAGGGGATTTAAGGTCAAATCCAGATTCCCAGTCCAAGGGGGAGAAAAAACGAAAGAAAAAAGTTTCCAAATATGACATCCTGATTCAGAAAACTAGCAATGAGTCAAAACTAGAGAACAAAGCATTGGAGAAGTACAGTGCTCCAAAAGGGGTGCTCCGTGATGTCAGTAACATGTCTGACAATTGGAAACAACTTTGGTGTCAGGAATGTGGCAAACTGAGGCGGAATGAGTGCCCTGAACATGGTCCACTTCAGGTCATCCCAGACCGCCGTCAGCTCAAGGCTTATGCAACTCTGCCCCGAGTTCTGACCATCAGAAACATTAACCCTAAAAAGAAGAGTAAATATGGACCCAAGCAGGAGGATGTTGTTGGTGTTTTTGCCATTAGGAAAGTTCAGAAGAGCTTCAGGTTTGGACCTCTGGAAGGGAAATATATTTCCTTTCCAACAGACTTTGATTTGACATCCAAATGGCTGTTGTTTCGGGATACTGGCAATCCTCTCTGTCTGGAAGCCAATGATGTCGAGGCCTGCAATTGGATCATGTTCATTAGAAGAACTACTGATATCAAAGATCAAAACATTGTTGCCTTCCAGTATGAGTCCGATATCTTCTTTGTCACCACGCGGGATATTGAAGAAGGGGAGGAACTGAGATATTACTACAGTGAGAACTACTATGAGCTGCTGATGGAGGCACTCCCCAAGGAAATCATGAAGGGGTTCCCTGAGCCATGGGTCCTGAGGGGAGAACCTAGCAGATCCCAGCTGGGGGCACTGGTATCAGAGGAAGAGCCTTGCAATTTACCCCTAAAGGACAATATTGCCAATAAAGGTGGCCAGCTTTCTGCAGTAGGAAACACATCCAGTGGAACAAAACCAAAAGAACCACAGGCAAGAGAAGATCAGTATGCTGTGGTGGAGATGAATGGAGAGCAGGTCCTGTGTAAAATTGTCTCAGCAAACCAAAATGAGGTTTCCTTACAGACGGGGGGCAGCAGTGACATCAGTAATATCATTCGCCAGGCAGCTGAGAGTCAGGGCATTGGGCCTGAAATGGAGAGTGATGGTAGTAATATGGCGGTCAGTTTACTTGGCGGGGTGCCAACTGTCTCACAAGCTAACCAGTCTCCTGCAATACATCAGCAACAGCTACTTCAGCAACAAGTTTCAGCAAACCAGGCACCTCCCACCCTATCAGTACTGGCAACACAATCTCATGCTTCAGCATCAACAACAGCAAAACAGCAGCAACAAGTGTCAACAGAGGTGCAGCAACAGTTACAACCTCCACAACAGTTGTCATTGTCTTGTCAACAGCAGCAGCAACCAACAGCATATCTGCCTGTGTCTTCAGAGAGCCTGAGCACTTCCATAGTTCCCCCCATTGTCCCAATGTCTTCAGGCCAGTATGCAGGACAACAACAGGCTGTGAGTGGGGAGGACTCCCTTCAGGCAGCTTTAGCTTATGCTCGAGGAGACTATGATCACATCTACACACAAGCTGGACACCACTATTATTTGTATCCCGGTGATGCGAGGGGCCGAGCAGACTTCAGCTATAATGACAACATGCAGACTCAGTCTGCCAATGCTGTGGACATCGCACTCAGATACTTGCAAAGTTTGAGTGAAGGCAGCACCCCTACATCTCGACAGGATCAGTCGCAATCTCAACAGCATACTATGGGAGTACAAGCCCAGCAGGTTCCTTATAGTGCTGCGACAGTTGATAGTGTTCCTGCAAGCCAGATGTATCCTGGTATTGCACAATCGTTAGGCCAAGGACAGTTTGAGATGGCGACAGGCACTTATTCACAGTTTCAATCTGGTATGGTGGGGGAACTGCAACAGCAGCAACCAGTTCGACCGATGAGTGACCTCCTCCCAGCACTAGGGTCTGGCCAGAGCACTGAACAGGCCAGTCAGTTTGCCAACTTGAACCCTGTCTCCTTTGACCACATCCAGGCCGTAATGGAAGATTCCAGTCAGAGATATCAGGAGGCTACTCCAGTTTCCACAGCTCAAACGTCACAATTAGCACAACCAGGGGCGCACTTAACACAATCTGGTACAACACAGCTCCAGCTTCTACAACACAATGTGGGCGTGGATATTATTACATTACCAATGGGTGACATAGCACCTGGGCCTAGCCAAGAGATACCAGTACAACCTGGAAAAAAGAGTGTCAAGAAAAGGCGCCAACAGGGTATCCCAATTAGGCCTGTTAAGTCACGAAGGGAATCTTCAGTTGTGGAGGATGAAGAAGAGGAAGATGAAGTAAGTGATGAACTAGAGGTTGTCACCCTGACTGCCATAGCAAAAAACGGGCAGCAGCCTGATGAAAATGACGAAACACCTATTATCTGTTATACAAAGCAGGAGGATGTCAGGATCTGCGCATCATACGCTATGATGGAAGGTCATAATGTTCTTCTTCTGTGCATCAAGCTGAAGAAACCGAAGAAAAGAAACATAAGAAAGCCAGCACAAATTTATAACATGCCAGAACAGCTGGAGCAACCCACAGGGCCATTCACCCAGCTAGCTGATGGCACGGCCCCAAAGGGAGAACAGACTGTTGTCCTTCCTGATCTGATTGGACAACCAACCAAAGAAGAGCCAGATGTTGGGCACACATATCGTTACATCCTCCCACCTGGTTGGAAATCGTCGTATGTGTGCACACGCTGTGGGCGTGTTTTCCGGATGATGTCCATGCTCCGCAGCCATTGGATGTCGCACACAAACAAACGCACACACCTGTGTGAAGTTTGTGGACAGGGTTTTAAGAGCTATGCTTGTTTACGTAGACACACAGAAATACATGACAATTCACGTGAAATAAAGTATTTTTGTACGCAATGTGGAAAAGGATTTTTTGACCAGTACAAGTGTCGCCGGCATGAAATGATTCATACAGGAGAACACTTCAAACATAGATGCCCTATTTGTGAGAAAGTCTTTTCATCATCAACCCATCTAAAGAGACACAGACTGATTCATGATGGTATAAAGCCATTCCCATGTGCCTTATGTGACAGAAAATTCACCCAGAAATCTGATATGCTAAAGCATGCAGCCCTGCATGAGAAGTACACTGGGCCTGTGACATGTACCTCTAACACTTCTACCACCTTTGCTGTCATAGCACCACACCCACCACAAAATGGAGCAACTCAAATACTTCACACTACCTTACCTACATATGCACTGTACAGATGATCATATAGGTTATTGATGGATTTCTTATCATAGTGAGATGATTGTATTTTATTATTATTATGGGGTATTATAAGTATAGTATGAAGACAGCTTCAGAATTTTTTTCTAACCAAATAATAGCGTTCTCCTGGTGGATCTCTGAATAAGGTTTGCAATTTTTCATATCTAAATTTGTGTATCACAATAATACTAAAAAGTTTCTTGTGTTGACCTTTTTTTATTATACACTTTATGGTCCTGTTTGTATTGTTTTATGTGACAGTCCATCAACCTTTAAAGGTTCCTATAAAAACTATAAAAGCTGATGGACCTTTCATCCAATCATTATTGTCAGTAAGAGACGTTGTTGTTGTTGTTGTTGTTGTTTACTGCTGTACACATGTATTTAATATACCAGCATCGTGCTGTATACTCTTTACTTTTATGATAAGACAATCTATTGAGGAGACATGATAACAAGTTGCATTTTCAGTTTGATCATAGATGCCACAAATATGTATTGTCATTGTATTTCTCAAAGGCTAGTTGATTTATAATAACAAAATTTAGTTTATTTTTTAATTTTTATTTATTTCTTTATAGTATGTATACTTTTCATCTTTTTTTTTTT